AATTAGCTCTTTGTGAAAATACTGATTTCTGAGTTACTGCATTATTATATAAAATTCTGCCCCTGTACATTTAATTGGTAAGAAAACGGCAAGTTTTCCAGATGTTGTGCCCTTCAGCAGAACTTCAATGAAGGACAGAGTACAGTATTTGTTAAGATTACTGGAGAAATTACAGGGAAATGAAAGAGGAATATTCCTCTTTTCCTTTGTTTTGTGTGATGTATTTAACAAGGATTCCATCTAATGCTGTCCACATGCTAACAGGATGCACCATTACCACAAAAAGAAGATAGTGGATTCTGAAGCAACTGGGAATGAGTTGAAAGATTTCCAAGTAAGGGGAGCTTGTGGAAGGAAGTTTCACTGACCTGTTTCATTCTAGAAAGAAGCACTTTTACTTGTTTCCAGGATTATCTGTATTGAAGCACTGGCTTCCTGTTGTACGAGGCGTTAATCCCACAGGTGCAATGGAACAAGAGAAAGCATAGCACTAGCGCTGGATTATAGAATGGTCTATAGAATGGCCTTCTCTCTCAAAGCCAAACAGGATCTGTTATTTTCTGCTTCAGTTCTGTCAATTATGGGAAGAAAGGTAGTCAGTTTAATGAAATGATTTACCATTATCATCCACCCTCCTTCAACCAAGTTATGGTTTCTATATCCATCAAAAAGAAATACTCCAGGAGCATCAGTAGAAGGTAAGGGCCTACTCTAGCTCCTTTGCTATTGTTCCTGCTTTGTACATTTTTAAGTCTCATTTCTGCACTATAAATGCTTTGACAAAGGAAAATACATTTCTTGTCCATAGTCACAGTATCTTGCAGTCTCGTATCTGACCCAAAAACAACACATAGATCACAGCTGAAATCTTAATGGCTCCCCCTTAGATAACAGCATCTGCAGAATATTTTCTTTCAAGTTTTTGTCATAGGAAAATAAAAGTTATGAGAGGCTTCTAACTCCTAACCAGTGAGAAATAGGAAAAACTAAACATAGAAAGCAAATGTATCTGCCCCTATAATTCAGCATATGACCATCCCTTTTTAGATTGGGGTGGAACTGGGTATACAAAGGGGAGCAAGACTAATCCAGGATTGACCAAGGACTCTTTGTAAATAGAGTTGCCAGGTTCTAAGGCTCTCTGCTTCTAAATGCGTGCTCCTGGGAGGAACACAATGGTGAGGAAGCCTGTTGCCTGAATTCCCAGCTATTGAATTTTGACTAGGATGCTAGATTAGACAGGCTTTTGGTCTGATCCAGCAAGGCTTTTCTTAAGATCTTATGCTTTTCATGTAATGGGGTGGAGCCAGTAGGAAAGGATTTGTTACCACTGTGTGCAGTTTGGACAAAGTGAATAGCCACACAGATGCAAAAATATGTATTCATCATATAACAGAAAAGGTGGAAGAGAAAGCAAGAAGAAAAGGTGGTTTTCATAATAGAGGTCCAAGTAAAACAGAAAGCTGCATTATACGGAGTTAGGCCACTGAACCATCTAGTTCAGTAGTACTGCTAACAGAAGCACCAGGATTCAAGACAAAATCTTTCCCAGCTCTAACTGGTGATAAGAAATTGAACTGAAGAATCTTTGCAAATGGCATGGGAGCCCCTTACTTTGGTCTAAAGTAGCAGATAAAAGGGCCAATATGGGAAAAACTAAGATACAAGAAGGCTTAACCAGCAACCACCTTACCTTGTAGCACTCAAGAATGTGGTCTTACCAGACTTGTCTTTAGATGTGTATTAGCTGGTTATCAGTAGTAAGCAGCAACAAAACACTGTTAACATGAGTAGGCTTACAGAATAGGACAGTATTGTGATACCAGTAGAACAATATATTTATTTGTAAGAAATAACACTTAAGTTTATCCCAAAATTAGGAAATTCTGCTTCATTATCCAAGGTATTAGACACTAAGTTTTAATGGAAAACATTCACTATTTGCAAAGAGTTTCCACTCCTCCTAAGGCTGAAGCCAAGCACAGCTTATAAATCTACAGGAAAAGGCATACATTGGGGAAAAACAAACCTAGGTCAGTAAGATCTGAATAAATTAATGCCTTAGTAAGGAATGCCTGGCTAGTAACAGGTTTAACACTTCAAGTGTTAAAAGGAACACAGGCAGTAAGACACCCCAACACATTCCCTCAGAAGGGTTGACCTTTGTTATTCATGGGATCTATAGGAGAAGCAAAACAGTTAAAACAGATCTCTGAAAATGTTGGGACTGGGGCTTCAAAGAAAAAAAAAAAAGGAAAACTGGTACAGCTAGCACCTCTGTGAGTCACGTTCATTGTATTTGGCCCACTCCTTGAAGATCAAGCCAGCAGTGTGCAGTGAAATTTACTAAATTGTTCCCAAATAGCAACCCAAATATTCAGGATGCAGCTTAACCAAAATCATTCATATAGTCACAGCTGCTGTCATTTTTAATGTATGATAAGATGCTTTCACAGAGTAATCTTGTTAGGTTAGCCAGTCTTTATACTCCAAGTATGCAAGGGTAACATTGACATAAAAGCATATTTCAGTCTTCCATCAATTGTTGATCAACCAGCAAAAATGCATGTTCTTTTTCTTCCCTACCCCTAATATGTTCTTTCCTCCCAAAGCTAGTCTATGGTGGCATCATTACATGCATTTCCCCTTATACTTACTGCTGATGTTGTCTGGCGGGCTGATGAAGTAACCAACATGGATCACATCCATCTTTTAATTGCATTTAAATGAGTAGTCATTAAAACTGTTTGTGGTAGTAAATTCCATAGCTTAATTATGCACTGTGTAAGGAGCTTCCTTTTGTCTGTCCTGAATCAATCACCAGTCACCCTCATTGAAGCCGCTAGCTTTTAGTGGTTTAAAGCTCAGCCATTCTGCTTTTCTATACGTACATCTTGTATTTTTATTGGCAGCACTCTGGAATCTTCGCTAAAAAATTAATTTTGTCCTGAGAAAAGAGAGGAGCTAATGCATCACTTAATGACAGTAGGTGGCAGTACCCTATGCACCCTACAGGTTAAATTCAAAAGTTGTTCCTAGAGAAATGTCAAACTATGCATCTACGCACCTAACCTCCCAGCCATACAATCCATGAGGGTATATTGAAATTGGCCAAATATATTCTAACCCTGAGGCATCCCAAACACTCTACATGGGCACCCCACATGATGCTACCTGCCTGCCTCCAGATCCATCACTTTTGCAATGCTCAGTCCGATAGCTTTAACAGAGGACTCTTTTCAGCCCCAGTATTAAAATATTTTTCCCTTTCTGGTGTCCATCTTGCATCAGGCCTTAAAGGTGCTGTCCCTTTTTTATTCTTTCTTCTGAAGTCTTTGAATTAAGGCTCACAAGGACTCTTCCTTGTAATTTGGGACTCATCAAGGACTTGCTACTTTACAATTCCAAGATCAACCGAGGGTTCACAAGGTTCTCAGATTTCCTCACAATTCTTTTCTTTGGAGCCTAAATTAGGTTTACAGGACAAATATGCCATTCTTTCTCTTTTTGAATCACAATGTTGAATTTGCCTTCACAGATCTTTGTTACCCTGAATACTCTAGACAGAGCTTCATGTCCTTGCGAAGCACCCACAATCTCTTCAGCCAGATGGCTTCTGATTTGCAGTCCATTTTGTGAATTCCTTGCCTCTCCCCACTGGCATCAAGTACCTTTCAAAAGATTGTCTATATGATTTGCTGAATTTGTTCACTGATATGGATTATAGTATATATTTGTTTTGATAGAAGCATGTACCATAGAGTATATATCTTGCAATACTCCTCATGCTATCCTAAAAATATGTGTAAAACTAAAAAAAAAAAAAAAAGCAATGCATATCATGGCCTATACCATTTGCTGTATCCTGCTCTGGATACTTTATTCCTTCCCTCTTTTGGGGTTTCTGAGATTGTATGAAGGGCACTAAGTGTGCACTGGGGCTCTTGGAACTATTGCCTTTTTAAAGCTTGCTGTACCCTTACATGCACACCCACATATCTGTCAAGGAAGTACCCTAGAGTGGCATTCAACAAGGCACGATTGGAGAAAATCTACAAGCATGCAGATACACAAACACTTTACTAGTATCTAGGCCCCTTTGGATCCCAGCCTCAAAATCAAGAATAAGGTTGTCTTATTTGTAGGAAGCACTATCTTAAGAAAAATTTTACTTTCTTTGCAGCCTGAAGACTGTTGAAAGATATCTTAAACTTTTATATTTTTAGAGATCTGTTCCATGCTCTGCCACTGATTATTTCAGTGCTCTTACTTTGAAGGCAGGATAGGAATGCAAATATGTTCCCATTTTAAGTTTGCTATTAAAATGTATTGTAGTAAATACTAAAATGTGGTAGTCAACAGTATTCAGTGGGGGTTGCTAATCTATTTTCTTTGGTATTCATTCTCTGAATAGCCAACCAATTCCAAAACTAAGGCACAAAAATTCCTGGATTTGAAATTCCAGTTAATAACATTTCAGTTTCAACACTGCAGATACTACAGGGCAAAGAAGGTCTATACTTCTGGATCAGGTATGACTGCACATTTGAACGTGTTTCACTGAACTCATAGCAGTTGGAGATTTAGTTTACTTTTTCAGTAAAAGCTTCAGACGGTCTCTTCTAAATTTTAAAACCTCACATCATATATATGACATCCACCAGGACTCAGGGAAGATGCACTGATCGTTTAGATAGTTCTTAATAGGACGGGTTATACTTCAGATCTAAGGGTATATGTGTTAACAAGTGGGTGCCTGTCTTTTGTTCCAAGGATTGTCATGCATGAATAAATGTAAATAATGAATATTTAGAAAGTGTTTATTACTGTCTACATACCATAATCTTATGGGTGTTCCTCTTTACCTTCAGCTGATGTGGGGATCAATATGCAGCTCATTCATTTGCTCCATTGGAAAGAAAAAAAATCTTAACACTGCTTTCATTTGTGGATGCATGATCTCAGTGCAATGGAATCTTGCCGACAGATGTTAAAAGATGAAGGATTAAATAAGATTTTATTGTCACATTTAACTGCTTTGTCAAAGATGTACATTTAAGGTTTCTGAGCAAGATAAAAATAAAATTTCTGAATGAACTGATGAGATGGTAACAGCACTTATTTAACAAACCAGTACTATAGTTGCTTGCAGATATCCAAAGTTAATAAAACCCAAACATGTTTTTGTTAATTAGAAAAGACTGCATGAAAAAGAAAAAATGTTAAGGCCAAAAATATGTTAAGTACTGAAAAGAGAAAAGTTTAAAAGTTCCAAGGAGATAGAAATTTTTACTGTATTTTAAATCCACTTGGATTTACTTACTATAGAAAACAGAGAGGCTAATAAATAGGTGTGAGTTTCTTTAGCTTTAGACAACCAAATGTCTAAAGGATATCTTTTTGCGGGTATTTAATGAAGAGCGGGATTATATATAATTAAGATGCATAAATTTGCTGTTTACTAAGTGAGGAAAAAGCCTAATTGAATATTGAATGGTACAATTCATTTGGGCAACAATTCTACTGCAAGCATAAAATAAAAAATATAAGTGCATCCAAACTTTCTTTGAGTCACTTCATGCCTCCAAAATCACAAGGGTCTTCCTTCCCCAACAAGAGCTGCTGTCTATCTTTAAGAAGAAACCCTAGTGTATTTTACTAGGCAGCATCTTTCATTCCCCATGATTAAATTTTATAGACTAAATCTGGAAATCATTGCAAGTTGCAGGAACTTGTCTTCATTAATTGTTCATTATTTGCAGAGTTCTAACACAAAACTTTGACAGAAATGACCACATCACCTTCCGCTATGTGCTCTTCATATGTTGAAAACAAAAACAAGACAATGAGGATAGTGTGGCAGAGTTACTTGAAATCCACCATGGTCAGAGTAGTTACACTTGAAACATTCACTGATGATTTACTGGTAATCGCTTTTCTACATAAAAAGGCAACCATAATTGTAAGGGATACACATTGGGCTAGTAGAAAAAGATTGAAACGAACCTCATCTCTATCAAAAGAGCATGCAGAGAAGATAGTTCACATTTGTTCCAATCAGGCTTCTTGAAATTAGCAAAGGTTTTTTTTCCTGGCAATGATCTATTTGGCTTCACCATTAGAAAGCCTGCTGATCAAAGTACTTAGAAATATCCCCCCTCCCACCCTAAATTCAAGGCATGATAGTGCACGAGGTAAGCTTTGATTTGAGATCATTAAAGACTGTGCTTAGCTGCTAAATTCCATGTTTCTTATGGAGAATATGGCAACAAAAGCTACGCATTTTTCAAATTTCACTTTGCTTATTTACCAGTACATCCATAAATTTTACCAATTAGTATGATTATCCTAATGATTCCATTACAAAACTTGCAAAAGTGTATCACAAAGTGAATAAGCCATCTAAGTTCAAGTCTTCTACATCTGTTGTGTACAATAATCCACTTTTGAAGCTCATTTCCTCCAAGTTTAATCCCAAAATATTTCTGTAACAATTAAGAAAGATAGTGCTATTTTAAGCTTATGTTCTATTAAATTTGAGAGATTTGAGTGTTCCTGGAATCGCCATCTGCATGTGTCAAAGGTTGAGAATCTCTTGTCTGTGCGTATTCACTGTCAGATGACTCTGCAGGTTCAAGCAAATTCTCATAGTCACTGTCTTCTGATTCATTAACATTGTTACCGGTTGCTGTTTGGGAGGAGGAGGGCATGGATGTTCCATTGCCTGAATGCTTCAATCCTGTATTAGTGGAAACATAACTAGAAGAGCCCACTGCTTGAGGTCGAGGCATAAAAACATTGCTTTCTAGAACACCAGGACGTACAGCACTGTCATGATTGATTACAGTGAAGTCAGCATATGGAGGAGGAGGATCAGAAGCTTCTGATTCTTCAAGATTACTACCTTCCACAGCAAAACCAGCATGGGACATCCGGGGGATGAATAGAGGCTCCAAGGTATCACTTGACATTTGCCTGTTTAAGATGGTCTGCTGCAGTCCTACAAAGGTGTAAAAATAATTGCAATTACCTGCCAGTGCAAGTCAGTTCATCTACTTATGTACCATCCTGTTGTAGAAAATCTTGAGACTGGATGTGGGAAAGGGACTTGAGTTTGCTCTGGGGGCTGTATATGGGCTGAATGCTTACTTGTGGGTTCATAAATAAAATGCAGGTTATATATTCAGCTGTTTAAGCAAGGCATTTGAGTGAAAAGCTGCCAATGCTGAGCACGAACTGTGACCACAACTCAGTTCCCCTTCAAAATTACTTTGGTAGAACTAGCATGATTAATGTAACCCTTTTTTAGATTGGAACAGCATCTTGCAAGAAGCCAAATGCTTGGAGAAAACAAAGTAGCACTACTTGGCTCAGTTAACTTAGACAGGATTTATGTAAAGGGCAGAAAATAAGACAAACTTGATAATGAGCTGCTATTGCTGCATCTCAAAGGAATTAACACAGACAGAACAGCAGCAGAGTACATATAACTCACAACTATTTCACCTCAGAAAAGAGGAATGAAAATGGAACATAGTATGAGTGGAACTTGGCCTGCACAGAAGGACTTTCCCATTCTCTCCTCCTCATTCTCTCCTCTCCTCTTGTGACTGTTGAAAATCTGCGCTGTGGAGCCCTACAATCCTCTGAAAAAGATTTTGAGAGTCTGGAAAGAGGAGGAGGAATCACATTCTCCTTTCTCTGTTGATAGAGCTGCAGAACTACCTTGCTGAGTTACATGAATTGTTTATACAAAGAAACAAGCAGGATTTAATTAATTTCATCTGACTTCTAGTTAACAGAGCCAAAATGACAGGCTAATAGTTGCTCCAAGGTTAATTTTTTAAAAAAGAATTTCTAAAGGGACCAGAATCATTAAAAGACTACATGAAAAGGGTCTCAATTCTTAATATTCAAATATTATATCAAGCCAAGGGAGATGTGATATGCACACCTCTGAACTGAATGGCATCAACTTCTGGTTTTCTGAGCTAGAACAAGGGTGGCCTAGACTTGGTCAATGGAACAGCCATACATGGTAAATGTCAGATGTTTGAGAGTGGCAAGTGGCGAGTGACAAGCCGCAAAATAAACTCAAAAAGTTGCATGTGGCTCCCAAGTCTTGGTTTGGCCACCCCTAATCTAAGTATACCTCATTTCTCATAAGGATGCTACCAAGAATAACATTCTAGTGCCAGTGTGTCCATCTCCTTTTGTTGTACAATATTTCAGTTGAGTGCTACTATCACACACTTTGTATAGGCATCACTGCTCCACAAATAGAGGTGCTGCTATAAATTTAAGTGGTTATGCACTGGCAACAACCCATGTACCCCCCATTTTTATTTTTATTATTATTATTAGTAGTAGTAGTAGTTAAATTTTGGCAGCTGAAAAGTGAAGCAACTGGTTTGCAGCCACCCATAATATTATTTTCCCTGAATGCTTTTGGGCCCAGGGGATGTAAAATGAGTGTTGCATGATTATCTGTACCTGCTTTGTGAATGGATGCCCCACAGCAAAGGTATTTTCTGATAACAACCTTAACATTCTCAAAATGCTAAATGTGTATCCGGCAGCCCAAACATGCTGGGGACTTTGATCTAACTGTTGGATGAGGAAAGTACACTCTATAAACAGGCATGCTATTTTTGGTAGCAAACACTCTAGTCTTAAGTCATGGCAGCTCCTTAGCAGTTTATTGTGTTTCTGAGGAGGAGGAGGAGGAAGAGGAGGAGGAGGAGATGGTCTATAATTCAACCTTCACTACATAATTCTGCAGTATGCTTAGAGGCAATTTTCATACTGTTCCTGCAACATTTTAACTTTTAAAAGCTTTTTAAAGTTTCTCTGGTAGCTTTGTACTCTCCCATGCACAAGTGCCCAACCAGAAGCAATCAAAAGCCGCCACCACCACATATAAAATGAACTGCAGCAAGTTTATCTTCTTCTACAACTACTCCCCTGCCATTTTTTAAGCCTTCCTGTTTTAAGATGTAATTTTTGGAGGCCACTAGTTCCATTTCTCCAGAGTCAATATCTATAAAGCACATTACCCAGTTGTACTACTGTTGCTACATTGTGACTTGTAGGAATGTAGCACAGTGAATATTCAGACTGGGTACCCTCTGATCATGTAGAAAGGCCCTAGATAATGACAATATTCCACCCACTCACGTTGAACTTCAGCAGATTTGACTTACAACCACAATTCATTTTTATACCACCCAATAGCCAAAGTGCTCTGAGTGGTTTACAACAATATATAAAATACAACAATAACATCAAAAATACAAGTAACAATCAAAACATCATAAAATTTCACTACAGAATGTAAAAGCTGGATTTAAAACCAAATTTAAGCAACTATAACAGCTAGCACAAGTTAAAGTAAAACCTGTTAAGCACAAACCTCACAACAGTTCTCTGTACTCCAAATCCTGGGTGGGGAAAGGGATTGAGAAAGTGTGATCTGCCCTCTCTAAAGCTCTGTGCTACTCAGTCTCACTTTTTGCCCTTCTCTGGCATCCTCTCCATGTCCTGACTGGCTTCAATAAGAGAAAATACTCTTATTAGGTCAACTCCAGCTCTTGAAAACACCTAACAAGTTTCTCTTCTGGGGGAAACAAAGCAGGCTTAGATCCAGCAGATCCAAGGTGATTTCTACCCTGCTTTTCAGGATTTAAGCCTGAGCATTTTCCACAGGTGTAGTGGGATGGTTATATCCAGACTTGTTTGAACTGGCAGATTTGGGAGTTGGTTTTATGCTCTTTATCTCATAGACAAAAAAGATGGGGGCAAGTAGAAATAAGAAAATCCAGGATGTCACAAAATGGCAATAGCCTAATATGTCAAATAATATGAGGTAAAGGAGTTCCTGAAGAGTTTACTCCATTTAGCCAGAGGCTAATAGGGGGCAGTGCTTCTCTCTGTTTCTGAGGCCATGAGCCAGTGCTGGCCAAAAACAACCCTGCGGTCATGTGGCAAGCATGACGTCACAGAGCACCGTTACCTTCCTACTGAAGAGGTACCTATTTATCTACTCGCATTACAGGCTTTCCACCTGCTGGGTTCGCTAGGAGCTAGGGGTGAACAACGGGAGTTCACTTCCTCTAACGAAGAATGGGCTCGAACTGGAGTGCCGACCATTTCTGGCCAACAGTTCCAGCGTCATTAGGCTGGCTTCCCCACTAATACGAGGTAACTGCATAGAAATTAAAAACAAGGGCAGTCTAAATAACTGCATTAGTCTTGATTTTATTTTAGGGTGCTAAATAATATAGCATGAACATACTTCGTCAAAATATGGTATAAAACTCTAATGAAAAATGAAGATCTTTAATATGGATAACAAACTGTTAGCAACATGAACTAAATCAAATTCCAAGAAAAATTACTACAAAAATAAAATGTATTGTGAGAAGAAGTAGCACCAGTTGTGGCTTGTCTTGAGTCAATATTCTGACTGTAGGCCTTATTTTATATGTGCTATTACTGGAAAGATTGCACTTAAGTGGAAAAATCTATTGACTTAACTTACTTTTCATAATCCATACTATTCAATGCTAGCAAAATCAAAAGGAACACACTAAATAAGAAGTCTGAGTATCAGAAGATTAATATGTTGCCCATCCGATCAGGTACTCAGTGTGTACTAGAAAATTGCTTAAAGGTAACAATGAAGCTTCGGGATCTGTTTACAGTACAGATCCATTCAGAGGCATAATCCAAGAATAACATACTGGTGAACCAGGGACTAAATGTTCAAAGTCACATCTAAACAAGCAACTGCAAGTGAAACAAATACTATTCTATATTGCAGCTATTTTCACTATACCTTTATCTATCCTGACTGTTAATAATTTTCTAGGCAATGTATGCCCTGTTCTCACACTCCATACCTCCTGCAATCCCTTTTTTCTTTAACCTTCTTCCAACTTTCTAAGAACCTGCTTAGACTTCCATTACTGTGCATCCAATAATTTAAACATCCAGCTAGTATACAAAATATGTACAAAGAAAAAAGTTTTTGATTAACTCAGAAAGGGATGAGGTGCTCTAAATCCAAAATACAGATGGCCACTTACTCAAATAGTTTAACAAATTACATACTAGAAGACTAACTAGAGTGGATCTACTGCACCTCAAAATAGAAAACATGTGACTTCTTAGTTAGCTATTTATAACTAGAATTAAGTCTAATACTTGTATGTGAGAATTGCAAACCATGTTCTGACATTCAGCTATGACTGCTATGCGTCTGATATGGGCAGACATTTCTAGAACTCGGTATAACAGAAATGAGTTTTCACTTCCATCAGTCGTAATCACAGATATCCAGCATTTTGGATGTTACAAATGGAGTCTCTATAGCTTTTATTATTTTCAAAGAATAGCCCACAGCACCGAAACTCCCATCAAAAAGTTGGTATAACTGTATCCTAGCTCCTTTTACTATCTCTTCTACATTCCAAAGTGAGTATCTTCTCTTACTGCCTTCCGCCTTTCAATACTTTCCCTAGGCTGTGTGAAGCAATTATTTCAGGCAAGATGCTTGTGCTGGAACTGCACAAAAGCTCATCAACCGGCCAACTATGAAAGTAGTGAGAGAAAAATGAAAGACTGTAAAACTTGGAACAGCAACAGTAGCTTGATAGAAAGGAAATATATAATTGAAAACAGCCTCCATTAGCTAGTGTGAGTATTCTATTACAAGACAATGCACATTCATATGCATAGTCCTCCCCATCCCAGGATTGTATCTTCCCATGAGTATTTCTTTACTTGAAACAGGTATCAAAATTATAAAATACATTAAATGTATGACTGATATTTGTAGTGAAGATCACTCAACAGAAAACCACGGACAATTGTTTCTAAATATTTAACACATTGTACAATACTTTTTTTCCTATATGGGCCTATGTCATATATCTTCTGAATACTGGAATCTGCTCAGATACATTTGAGACGTTAACATATAACAGAGCAAAATGGAGCTCAGTATTTACATTAATTTTTCAAGCAACCAAGAGAACATTTATAGAAGAGGCTTACTTATTTCCTGCTCCTTTTCATTTTTCCTTTGTGAGATTTGCCTTTTTAGCTTATTCACCTCTGCTTGAAAAGATTCAACAGCTCGCTCACTCTTTTCTACATCTAAGCACACTGCCTGGGAAAAAACAACAAGGTTAGCTCAATGGACATTTTACAGCCTTAGCAAAAATATAATGCAGAAGTCAAGATCAAGGACACATCTTATATTTGCCACTAGGTTATGCTATGTTATGTTAGTTGCAAAGTCATGTCTGACCCATCATGATGCCATGCACAACATTCCTCCAGGCTCTCCTGTCCTCCACCATCCCCTGGAGTCCACTTAAGCTCACACTTAAGCCACTTAAGACTCCATCCAGCCACCTCATCCTCTGCTGTCCCCTTCTTCTTTTGCCGTCAATTGTTCCCAAAATTAGGCTCTTTTCCAGTGAGTCCTTCCTTCCCATTAGCTGGCCAAAGTATTTGAGTTTCATCTTCAGTATCTGGCCTTCTAAAGAGCAGTCAGGGTTGATCTCCTCTAGGACTGACCGGTTTGATCTCCTTGCTGTCCAAGGGACTCGCAGGAGTCTCCTCCTGCACCACAATTCAAAAGCCTCAATTCTTCGGTACTCAGCCTTCCTTATGGTCCAGCTTTCGCAGCCATACATTGCAACTGAGAAAACCATAGCCTTGACTATACAAATTTTTGTCAGAAGGGTGATGTCTCTGCTTTTTACTATGCTGTCTAGATTTGGCATAGCTTTCCTCCCAAGGAGCAACCATCTTTTAATTTCTTGGCTGCAGTCCCCGTCTGCGCTGATCTTGGAGCCCAGGAAAATAAAAACTCTCACTACCTCCATTTCTTCCCCATCTATTTGCCAGGAAGTGAGAGGACCGGATGCCATGATCTTAGTTTTCTTAATGTTGAGTTTCAAGCCAACTTTTGCACTCTCCTCTTTCACCCGCATCAAGAGGCTCTTTAGTTCCTCTTCTCTTTTTGCCATTAGAGTGGTATCATCTGCATATCTGAGGTTGTTGATCTTTCTCCCAGCAATCTTAATTCCAACTTGTGATTCATCTAGCCCCGTCTTTCTCATGATGTGCTCTGCATATAAGTTAAATAGGCAGGGCAACAATATACAGCCTTGCTGAACTCCTTTCCCAATTTTGAACCAATCAGTGGTTCCGTGTCCAGTTCTCACTGTTGCTTCTTGACCCACATATAGGTTTCTCAAGAGACAAATAAGATGATCTGGTACTCCCATCTCTTTAAGAACTTGCCACAGTTTGTTGTGATCCACACAATCAAAGCCATTAGCATAGTCAATTAAGCAGAAGCAGATGTTTTTCTGAAACTCCCTAGCTTTCTCCATGATCCAGCGTTGAGTTTTTCAAATCTGTTGGCATACTGAGTGTAGCACTTTTACCTCACCGTCTTTTAGGATTTTGAATAGTTCAGCTGGAATACTGTCTCCTCCACTAGCTCTGTTGTTGCTCAGACTTCCTAAGGCCCATTTGACTTCACATTCCAGGATGTCTGGCTTGAGGTCAGCAACCACCCATTCGTGGTTATCAGGAACGTTAAGCTCTTTCTTGTATAGTTCTTTTGTGCAATCTTGCCACCTCTTCTTAATCTCTTCAGCCTCTGTTAGCTCCCTGCCATTTTTGTCCTTTATCATGCCCATCTTTGCATGAAATTTTTCCTTCATATCTCCAATTTTCTTGAAGAGATTTCTAGTCTTTCCTGTTCTATTGTTTTCTTCTATTTCTTTACACTGCTCATTTAAGAATGCCTTATCTTTTCTAGCTATTCTCTGGAATTCTGCATTCAATTGGGTGTATCTTTCTCTTTCTCCCTTGCCTTTCGCTTCCCTTCTTTCCTCAGCTATTTGTAAAGCTTCCTCAGACAGCCATTTTGCTTTCTTGCATTTCTTTTTCTTTGGGATGGAGTTAGTTGCTACCTCTTGTACAGTGTTGTGATTGGTAGATTGGTAGTGTCTAAATCAGCAAAAACTTCTGTCCTGTTAATGATGGACTGTCTGATTCAACTGTCTAATAGCTTGTGGTGCAAAACAGCTAACACTTCTTTTGACCATCTATTTTAGCAATGTCCAGTAGCTCATTCTTTTTGGGTATAGTTATTATATAAATAAATGTTGTACTGGAACAGTCTTTAACATTTACTGATGTACACATCTTTTAAATGATCTATCTGTTTCATGAAGCTGAAGAAGTTGCAAGGGAAATGAGTTTTCTATGCCCTATCAGCTAGAAGACAGATATCACAAAAGTGTAAGGGTAAACATTCATCTCAGAGAATGCCATGGGCTGAAGACCTTACAATGCTTTTGTTCTGTCAGCAAGTGGCATATAAATGCCTATTTGAAATGGATTATTTGAATGCTTAGTCATCTTTTAATGAAGCCTATGTGTAGTTCCTAGAAAGTTACAATCATTTCATACAAATCCTTAGCACACACACACAATTTTTTTTCAGGTTCATGCAGGCATTGCACTGGGGATCCCATTGCAGGTGCCACTACAGCTTGCTGGGGGTGAGGAAATTTTATGCAACTTATAAATCTTAAGTGATCTGTGCTTATTTATCTTGTGCCAAACTCAGGGCAAAATGAAGGTAGGGCTCCTGAGATCTGTAAAATACAAGGTATACTTTTTATATCAAAGACAGATGAAAAGAAATAAATACTGAAGTCCCATGACACCTACATGCTTTGGCAATAGGACAGAGGTAGGGAACCTTTTCTAAATCATCTCTCTGGACCAATCCAGTGAACTGGGCAACTTCATGAGGATGATACCTTCCCTCCCCAGCCCATTCTTACCTTTCAGAAAGATGTAAAGAATGGAATTTGGCCAGCACCTGGAGGAGTAGCTCTTCCAGGTGCTGGTTCAGTCAGGTACCTCCTTTGTGCCAACCCAACTAAGGACCCTACACAATAGGAATCCTTGATGTTATCTCCAAGCAGTGATAAATGGCTTGGGATCACAGTACCTGATGGATCACCTCTCCCAACCTAAATCTACCCAGATGTTGCAATCTATATCTGCCACAGGGCCTGGAGAGCTCCCCAGTAGTGGGAGAGAGCTAACCCATTATTGAATGCCTCTGGACACAAAAGTAAGAAAAGTTGTTTCTGCAACAAGTTTAAATTCAAAATAAAGCTAGTTTTCTTGCATTTCTGCATTATTACAGCACAAATTATGATACATATTAAGCAATGTTAACATTTAAGGAGTTACCTGTACTTTTTCCTGAAGTGCATTATAAACCTGATATATAGCCCTGATGTCCTTCATCACGCCATCTTTATCAAAAAAATCGGTACTAAAAATATGTATGAAAAATGAGTTAGAAGAGATATACTGTATTTTACCCTTCAATTTATATATTCCTTATTTTATTTTCAATTTATATTTTTTAGAAAGTCACATCCAAGAAACAGCGCATGGACTACCATGCCATATTACAGAATCAGTTGTTTTTGCTAAGTCTAATACTAAACTGATTAATGTAGGATAAATATTTGCTCTCTGAGGTAGCAGATGGAAGAACTACAGTATTCAGTTTTATCAATGTTTTATTGCACTGATAAAATATAATCTGATACCAAAAGCACATGTTTCTTACTGAATTCCATATACATTTTACACATTAAGGTCTAAAGCTTGCTCAGGCTAACTCCACTTTTCTTTTGGACTTGTTTTACCTTAGTCAATATTTTCAAAGTTTTTTTTTTTTTGTATTTCTCTATATTAGTTTAAAAACAGCAACCACAAAAAAACAAGCAGATAATCAAGAACCCTGCATATCTATTCTTGATTTAAATCTATGTTTATTTGTCAGTATGCAGGAATTACAATTGTTACATATTAAAAGAATGCTTACCCATGCTCCTTAATAACTTTGGTATAATTTTGTGAAGTATTTGGCACTGAAGAAACCTTGTATTCTTGCTGGCTTGTGTTGCCTAGATTAGGAATAGTAAGAGACACTCTTTGATTATACCTATGGAAAATGAGAAACATAGCTGTTAGCCTTCATGGAGTTTACTTCCAACTATGTGATCCCTCTGGAAGAGATTCTAGTTACAGTACTAGCCAAGATAGTGCATTGGCGCTTTTCTCTAGATCAAGACTTAGTATTAACAAGGAGAGAATTAGCTGTTGACTAGTTAAAGAACAATTGCCTAACTGGCTAAATGAAGTTCCATACCAACATCATAATATTAGTGCTTTTTTGAGATACTGATTGAAAGCAGCACAGCTTTCGGTAAATAAATACACTAACATTAGAACATTTTGAAGGGAACTTTTTTCTTTCATCATTACAGAAATATACTAGAACCAAAACATTTAGGAAACACAGACCAATTCATCTTTAACTTTCCACCTCTGTAGATAAAAGTTTGTAGCCCTATGTGAAAGTAAAACCAGATCTGTTGTATATAAAGAGCTAAATGATAATGGGATTCTTTTCATGACATACACATAGTATTTTAATTTAGTTACCTCATGCAGGTCACTAAGCCCACTGCATAGCAAAAGATTTCTAGGTACTACAGTTTCTACATTGAAAACTTTTTTTTTAAGCAAAGAGACAGACAGGTGGATTTACTTGCTAATATGTTGATGATGCTGGTTCCATTAGTACAAATGAAATATTTGACCATCAGGACTAAAATTCAACATGCACCCCCCCACCCCCCAGTTGTTTTATATAAGCAATCATGGTGGTTCAGGTTGGATGCAACAACCCATGAGGTACTGGGGTCACTGCGAGTGCACTGCTTGCTAAGAGCTTTCTGCTCCCACTTTGCTAAGCAACTCAAAAATTATATTGGAACCCAAAACTCGAGTTTTGATTTAGAACTCAGGATTACTGCGAGTTAACCCAGAATTTTAACCTAACATTAAGCAATGGGTTCAAGTCCTAGATTCAGGCTTCATGACTAAATCCAGGAACATTTAGCAAAGCACACCAGTACAAAAAGTCTGGAGAGTCCCGTTCTAGTACAACATCATGTTTTGGATTGCAATTTAATTATACATGCATAATCCCCACCGATTTCAGTAGGTTTACTCTAATTTCAGTCCATCTATTTTTCAGCACTAGAAATTGTACCAACTTTTTAAAAAATAACACATCCAACTGAGGGCACCTTTAAACATTCTAATCAAAGAGCCAAGAGTGAAAATTTGGCCTGTGAATGTGGAAATAAAGGATTTTTGAAAACCTTTTGAACTGGTGTTAAACCACATTTACACTTAAATCTGGATAGACCTGAACTCTCTTACTGTCCTGATTACTCATTTTAATACAAATGTGTGATGTCTCTTTTCACATCCCAAGAGCTAATTACCTTCGGTTTGGTCTAAAAAGAACATATTCTAAAGCATGAGTTGAGTTATTTGCAGTGGAGATGAAACTGAAGAGAAGGAAGACAAGGTCAGGCACTCCAAGAATCTGCGTCAGCTGCTTATGGATGATGTGTTCTCTATATGACATTTGTTGCTGAGTGTTTCTCCTAAATCTGTACCACCCAATAACATTCTAAAAGAAGGGATGAGAAGAGAATGTATTAGCCAGAAGACAACAATAACTTCATCTATTGATATTTTGGAAGTTCTGTCTTAAGCTGTAATTTATCTGATTACAGAAAGAAATACTATGTACTATGTGTTAATGTCTCATTTAAAAAGCAAATTCTTTTGTGTACTATAGAATATGGAATCCTTTCATGTTATCCATAATCCTGTGCATAATGAAGGTTTACATTTTGTAATGACAGAAATGCCTGGATTGCATAAATGTGTCAGCAGGTAACACTCAACTTTGAAAGTCAACCGATTGGGAGAGGACTAATAATTTATGTGCTACTTCTATGATGCACAGTTTCGGGACCACTATCTTTTCTTCTCTTTTTTTTTGTAAGGCAAGCAACCAACCTATGGTAGCTTATTCTATAGGATGGCTTTCTGTGACATGTGAACAGTCCCAAATTTTTGGTCCTTCTAGTCCAGCACTGTCAACAGTCAGAAGGTGCTGCCAGTCAAGGTCTCCAACAGAAGTCTTCAGATCAGCTGCTACCTGACTATTTAACTGGAGATGCTGTGGATTCGAATTGGAACCTTCTACGCACAAAGCATATGCCATAATTAGGTAGGGTACTTGTACTATGATGATATCAAGAGCTGCAATAACTGAACATGGTTAATACTACATATATTTATGTAGTCTACATGCCACTATTTATTCTGATTACCAAGTGCCACTGTGCAAGTGGTAGGTCCTGACGATTCCTCAGTGCAAAGAGAACTTACCACTTGAGCAACACATTTAATGTGCTGCAAGAGAAAGCTCTGAAACAAGTGAAAATGCTTATTTCTGAATTAGTAACTCCCTTAGGTGAGCTCTGCTGCACTGCTGCACTGATTTTCAATTGCCCACAGTAGCACTAAGTCTTCATTCTGCAAGCAATAGGAGTTGCCTATGAAAGGGAATTGTCAGAGTGTAAGAGAATTATCAGAGGCATAAGTGTCCATGGGATACTGCCCTTAGATAGAATCTAGGACTTGAATGACCCCCCACATAATTTTACAAGTGTTTACAACAATTTATTTTGAAAGTCTTCTGGATTTTAAAAGATGTTTGTTATGTTGTTTGGAAGTTACTTGTGTTTTTATCTAATCAAGGTCAATGGATTTAAGTTGGAAGTTCAAATGAGCAAAATTTACATGCATACATAGGAGTCAATCATGTTTTCAAATTTACCTCTTTCAGTTACCAAACCATGAAATCATTTTTATAAGTCAGACATAGCTTAGAAAGCTATTTACAAGTACTGCAGCAGTGAAATGATTGTCCAGAAGCATATAAACCCTTGAGTGTGCTTGCATAACCTTTATTATCCATTTAAATGGCATCTTGATTAATTCTACTACCATAGATCTATCTCTATTTCTCTTTCTGAACAGAGTATGCAATCAGAATATTAATTAGTGAAACTAAGATATGCAATATAATTCTACACAGAATGTGTCCATGTATTCAAGAATACAGATCTATTATATGAATTTCAAAGAACAAAATACCTGAAACAATAATTGATCTGATATTTTGACAGGGCATTGCTGATTAAGCATTTATAATAGTCAATTGAGTTTGAGACACATCAAGATCATGCTTAGTTTATTTGTTTGCTACTTTTCCCAAAGTAAATCATGCCTTCAGAGGCTCACAATGAGCTTCAACTTGAACGGATGTTTCATTTGAAAGAAACTATTTGTTACAAAGCAGATTCAAAAACAAAATCAGTAATTCAATAAGCATAAGCTACAGTTTATATAAAATTATCTAGACTTAATGGGCAACAAGTATAGTACAAAAGGAGTAAGTGTTTAGTAAGACTGAAGTAATTGTTCCACGGAGGGGAAACCTCAGAAAAGGAGAAACAGAATTGAGTTCCACCTGGAAGTTATATTAACTTCTGACCAAACTACTTTTCCTTTATACTTTTACTCAGGCACATACCTATGTTACCACATACAACTGAAATAAGCTTAGGAATCCTTCAAACCTTTTTCTCCAGAGATTCTAAACAAGCAGTAGCAAAAGAGCTCCTTCCTTGATCTTCGAAGATAGGTGACTAACAAGTCACCATATGATTTATTTATTTAGGATTCATTCACAAAGTTGTATAAATGGGCTTGACTGAGCAATTCCTGATACTCCTAAATTGTATGGATTTAGAACTGTTTTAATTAGTCTTCTGGGCTAGGTTTTGAGACAGAGGCTGATGATCAACCAGGTTAATTAGTTAGGAAGAGCTAGCCTGTTAGTACTGAAAGTAAAATTTCTGAAAATTATCAACGATATCTTTTTGAAATGAACCACATACGTTAGAAGTACACATGCAAGGTTCAGCTCATAATTCAGTGGGAAATCAAATAAAATTACGTTAAAGGATTGTTTTCTCCTATAGGAGCTCTTGTGTGATTTTACAAGGGTTCTATCCTTATCCCAAGCTTCTTAATATCTACGAGGGGGCGTTCAATGAATTCTCGGTATCGGGTTGATTTGCTATTGATGTGGGTAATTTAATTATTTCATTAGCTAATGACACTATCTGAGGGTATACATGCAAAATTTCAAATAAGTGTGAGCATTAGTTCCCTAGTAATCCTCAGTGAGATGACCATGATGACTGATGCAACAATGTTGAAGAAAATCGAACACCGCGCTGTGATTAAGTTCCTTACAAAACAAGGAAAAAGTCAAAAAATCATTCACAAAGAGATGGTGGCCATTTACCAGGACTCTGCACTTTCATTATCTACTGTTCAAAAGTGGTCAAGTGAATTTAAAAGTGGCAGAGAAAGCACTGAAGACGACCCTCGCTCAGGTGGGCCAGTTACTGCCACCACGAAAGAAAATGTGAAGAAAATTGAGAAACTTGTATTGGAAGATGCCTGAATAAAAATCAAAATGTTAGCAGAGATGACAAACCTATCCGTTGGTACCATATTTACTATTTTTCATGACCATCTTAACCTTTCAAAGGTCTGTGCAAGATGGATGCCGCAAATGCTCATGGTGCCTCAGAAACAAGTGCGAGTCGAGTGCTGTAGGGAGTTTTTAGAGCTCTGTGGTGAAGATTCATCAAGTATTTTTGACCAGATTGTTACTGGAGATGAAACGTGGGATCATCACTATGACCCTGAAAGTAAGCAGGAGTCCATGCAGTGGAATAAAAAAGGTGCTGACCCTCCGAAGAAATTCAAAGTCACTCCATCAGCCGGAAAAATCATGGCCACAGTGTTTTGGGACTCAAAGGGAATTTTATTGATCGAGTACACGAAAAAAGGTGAAACCATAAACGCAGCATTTTATGCAACCACTCTGTGTAATTTAAGAGAAGCAATTAAAGAAAAAAAGGCAGGGAAAACTAACTGCAGGTATGTTGCTTCTTCACAACAACACGCCCGTTCACATGGCACTTATTTCGAAGGCTGCTGTACAAGATTGTGGTTTCAAAGAAATAAACCACCCACCCTGTAGCCCGGACCTGGCCCCCAGTGACTACTACCTATTCCCGAATTTTAAAAAAGATCTTCATGGAAAGCTGTTTTCTGATGATGAAGAGCTCAAGGCGGCAATTAATGCACATTTTTTAGACAAGGAGGAAGCATATTTTTACAGGGAATTGAAAAGTTAATTTATAGATGTAATAAGTGTACTGAAGTTATGGGGGACTACATTGAAAAATAAAAATTATTTCAATTTATTATTTCTTTTTCTTCATGCTGATACCGAAGATACAATGAATGCTCCTCATATGTAAAACCACTGGAAAGGACTGCCTAACATTCCAGACCAAATTAGCATCTTCAGCACTGCTCTATTTCACCTTTCTTGAGCTAGATCTCGCATTTTAGCCTTCCATGCCTGCTTGAATCGGTAATGACTAACTCCATTCAAAGAAGATAGAATTGCTCCTGAGTGCTATGGGTCCTGCAACATTTAGGCCGTATTTGTTTGCCTGGCACTTTTCTACCTGGCTTGAGAAGGTGGAGCTCTAACATGTCCAAAGACCACCAGAGGTGACAGATTGATGCTGGGGGCAGCTCACAGTTTTGGGTAAGAGGAATTATTTTTGCAGCTTTAAAATTTTTTAGACTGTTCAACTTTAGTATGCATTATTAGAAGTTTGAAATTGCGTCTTGTAATGGTTGTCAAGCCACCTTGAAATGTTTCATTGCATAAATTCATCTGATGTTGAGAGCTGCTTTGAGCATAGCTTATCATGGAAAAGAAGCATACAAATAAAATCATGACTTAGGTCCTAGACTAACAGAAGTAGTTAGACTTTCTGGATGCTAGGACATGATCTTCTGGATTTGTAGAGAATGGGGTAACCAAGAACATGCTCTGCCAACTTTGGCTGCTATGTTCTAGCAGCACCCCTTCTTGAAAAACAGACTTTGCCACTGTTGTGTGCTCTGGCATTTTTGAATGCACTATTGTAATGAGCCATATGTACAACTCATATGTGGAATTCCTCTGAAACATCAATTGATCCAGAATGTGATATTCAGATTAGCACATGTAGCTAGACAGCAAGGGAACAATATTAATGAGCAAGGATGCCACTGGTCATAATTTGTTTCCAGCCTAACTCAGAGGCACTGGATCATACATTTAAGGTCTTATGTGCTGCAAATCCATGTATTAATGAGAGAGAAACAGAATAAAAACATTCAAATCTACAAGAAATAACCCTCAGAAAGTACCTCTGTTCAACAAATGGAAATGAAGGTGCAAACGCCAGAAATATTAGCCTCAACAACTTGTAGTTATTTTAGGTGACAACTCTGCATTTTAAAAACTTTACTTCTGAAGGACTGCCAGGTTTAGATACTTGACCTGTTTAATACTTGTCTTCTAATACTCACTTTAGGCTTTAAATGCCCTGTAGTTAGGTATTCTTCAAAAAATGATTCATACTTGCCCTCCACTTTGAGAACTACTTAAATGGAAGAGCAGGATTCCAAAAGAATAAACACTGATCTGGATTAAATGAACTAGCAATGTTAACATGCAATTGGTTCTTTATGCTACAGTATACTTTTTTACCATTTTTAAAAGTCTGTTTTAGCCATGAGCACAGCAGGTCAAGACTGATAATTTTTAGACTAAATATGATCAAAATATTAGTTTTTGTTCCAAATTTATGGTTGTATAAGCAAATTTTCTTAATAAGTAAGCTTACCTTTCTCCGATCTTTAAGAATCCTATCCAAATTTTCTTCATTGACTTTGCCTGCATAGTCATAAAAGCTTAAAAGGAAAATGGAAGTTTCCAAATCAAAATAATGTGTACTAAAACAAAGCATACAAAATCGATTGTATTGACAGACCTGAACTGAGCAGACTGCTTATTCTCTATATCCTTATATAATTAACTTTATATTAAAATATGTTATGAGAAGCAAGTCCCCCTTTTAACATATTACTATTTTGGTACCAAGGGATTCACAAGTAGCAGGTGTACAATTCCTTAGTGCCTATGTTTCAATTTTCTAGTGGCTCTAGGTAGCTAACTGTCTCTACTGCTTTCAGATATGTATGTTAACCAATGGATGAGAGAAATGGACAAGAAGCGACATAGGCTAGGTTCCTCTGAACAAGTGCTGAGCAACTATAGGCTGGAGAAGTTCCAACTTCATGTTGTGCAGGAATTAATAGACTTGAATCTTGAATCTTCTGCTAAAACTTGTTTCCCATGATTTCATCTAAACTGTAATAATTGCTATAAGAATGGATTTACACCAGCCTCATATCTATATATACTAATCATTCCAAAGTACAGAAGAGCATTTTCTCCTGCCCATTTTAATGTGGTTCCATCAGCACTATTCAAAGGATGATTTAATAAGCCATCCTTGTAAGCCGTCCTGGGACAATTTTCATATAGGATGGGGTAGAAATATTTTAAATACATAAATAAATAATACCCGGGTTAATGAATGGATATGTTCCTGTGATGCTGGAGCGGTAGAAAAAGTGGAAAATGTTCTCTTATATTGCAGCTATTATACAAAATGTAGAGAGAAATTGATTAAACGAATAAAAGATTTATATAGGAATTATCCTTCCACTCTGGTATCTATGTGTTTAAGGGATGTATCCTCTTATATTACTGAAAATGTTGCAAAATGTTTTTATGTCTGCACCAGAGACTAGGAAAAAATCTTGTCACAGCTTAAGTGAAAATATTGTATAAATTGTACTTGTTTTAACTGTGTTTTAATTTTTCTAGTGCTATTTTTTGTTTTTTTAATTTTCCTGGTCTGTGACCGTAAAATAAAAACTAAATAAGAATTCCATCTCTTTCAAATAGTTATTGAAGAAATCCTGCTCTAGTAGTCTTCTTCATGTGTGTTACTTAACACTGTTACTAAAAACCAAGTTCATTTTCATGAATTACAATCATACTCATTGGGTGTAAACATCCTTCTGACAAAGACAAACGCGTACCTTGCATCACAATTTGTGCCCATCCAACATGCAGAAGATGTGGGAGCCACCATGTACAGGAAGAAATTTTGTGTGGACCAACTACATACTTTAGATACTATTAGGTCCTGCCCAGTTTTCATCCAGTTTATCCTCACTGAATGATTTAATGGAAAAGATGGAAATGCAAGTATGCAAGCCAGATACAAACATGTCTCCAATTCACAAATTTATGCCAAACTCCAACACACACTGTGTACAGTGCATGCACACATCCACATAAATGATTTAATATTTTCATATTTCTCAATATGTGAATGCCTTAAGTAGAACATATCTGATTTGAAACACAGCTTTCAAGAATTGGCATGGCCCTTAGGACTGAAAGGACTGCACATCTGTTCTTAAGAAGTTAACAATTAGAAAAGGTGGATGGTGCTGCCTCTAGCTCCATGCCAACCTTCAAGTATCCCACAGGAATCACTGGCTTGCTCCACATTTATGTGGGTATCCAAGCTGGTTCCAGTGGTTAATTAATCCTACATAGTGGATGTAGAGATTCAGATCTTTGAGAGCAAATCAGATCCTGAGTTTGAATGTGTATTTGCAAGTCACACTCCTCATAGACTTATCTGCAAAAGACTTTTTCTAAAGAGCTTGCAATATTTTATTTATTTTTTATTTATTTTTTTATTTATATCCTGCCTTTTTCCTACAAAGGGCTCAAGGCAGCTTACATCATTCTCCTCCTCCATCTTATCCCCACAACAGCAACCCTGTGAGGTAGGTTGGGCTGAGAGTCTGTGACTGGCCCAAAGTCACCCAGTTGGTTCCATGGCTGAGTGGGCACTAGAACCCAGATTGTCTGAGTCCCAGTCCCATGCTCTTGACCACTACACCACACTGGCTCTCCCAGACCAATTTACAACATAAGTAAAACCAATGATAAATTTATAATCTAGTCAAAGTATTAGCACAAAGTCTGCACTGAATCCATGCATGAGCTAGTTCCATTTCCAAGACAATCCTTACTAGCTGAGCAACTGAGTAGGATTAATCTCTCCCAGTTGTGCCTTCCTAGGTATTGCTGTAATACAGACAAAAGAATTAGAGAGGGATGGGGGTTGTTGTGGTCTACAGGCTTTCTTCCTTTTTAGGCTTCTTGTCTGTTTTAAAACCTTGAGCATTTATATCTTGTGTCAGTATTCAGGACAGACTAGAAATTCTGCTGATGCAGCATCCAGTCCAGCTTCCATCTCTCTGAGTGAGGTTGTCTTGGGTTTGGTGTTAAGGCACTCTAGGAGGATGGATTTTGGAGAGCTCAACTTCCATGCTGAGGACATTGAATCTGGCATGATTCAGGACTTCATGACCATCATGACAGGGGTGACCAAACCCCGTGCTCGCCTCTCCGGCCTCCTACTCCCCCTCCCAGAGCTGGGCGAGCACCTGCAAGGGGACCTTCCTCCGGCTCAGAAGCAGAGCTGTGGCGAGGAGCCAGGAAGGCCTCAAGCAATCGCAAGCGTGCCCTCATGGCTCCCCCTTGTGTCAGGCTCTTCCTTTTGGCAGGCACTGGGGAGTCATCTTGGGCTTCTGCAGCCCGAACAAGCGATCATTTTTAATTTTTTTTATTTTAATTATTTTTAAATTAATTTTAATTATGTTTTAATGTGCAGTGTGCATAGGAATTCATTCATATTTTTTTCAAACTATAGTCTGCCCCCCCCCAACAGTCTGAGGGACAGTGAACTGGCCCCCTTTTTAAAAAGTTTGAGGATCCCTGACCTATTTGATGTTGTAAGCCGCCCCGAGGCCTTGGCAAGGGGCGGCATAGAAATGTTTTAATAAAATAAAAATAAAAAATAAAGCATACAGATTAAGGACTCTGAACAGAGATAAGGAGAAATTTGTGCACTTTAAGAGCCTGAAACCTTAACCAGCTGGAAATTCTATTACTAATCGCTTGGTACAGATGGGAAAAACAGGCTTGTCTATTATTTTAGCCAGACTATATACATATACTCTGGGTGCATTTTTTTCTTTGCCCTAAAATGACTTAGTCCTTTAAAAAAATAAAATGGAGACTTGCAATATATCACTTGGAGTGGTATTCAGACAACCCCTTCCACCAACAGAATTGGTAGCATCAGAGGAACAGGGAGAAACCAATACTCTCTCCCTTGCAACCCCCTTAAAATTTGCTTCTGGATGCTGGGGGAGCCTCCAAAGCATATTGGGAGGACATGGGGAGGAAAGGAGAGAAAAGGTTTGAATGCATAATCAGTCTGGTTGCACAGCACTGGATTTTGCTATGTGGCAGCACTTTTTGCGGTGTGTCATATTAAAAAATCATGTTTTTGATACATAGGAACTTCAAGGTGCATTTAAGATATGCATTTTTGTTTGATAAGATATCTCCTATGTAGTACTACATCTCCTACTGATTTTTTCTTAAATAACTAGGTTGAATGCTCATTCAATATTTGGAAACTGTATTAATGCTTGACACAGCAATCCTACATTTGGCAGAAAGGGGGAAAAGTGACAAAAATAACTTACCTAAAAAGTTTGGAACAAGGCTCATGATTATGAATTTCTGTAACAAAACAATGTATATTTCAGTTACGTAAGACCAAGATGAAATTTCAGACCAAAACCATATCACTAATCTCATACTAATAATTGTTTTGGTCATTACTTGATTACAGTACAGATAATATAAAGGGTATTGTTTTAACAGCAGTGCAGCAAAATGTTGCACTCAGATGTTTCCAATGCAATGCATCAAACTCCTTTATCCTCAGAAAATGAATCATGTTTTAAACTACTAAGTGTAAGACAGACATTTGCAGTTCAGCTGGGGATCTGCTGTTTTGGAAAAACAACATGCACTCAGGTGCACATGGATACACTCATGACCTAGATGCAATTTCTTTTTGAGAAACAAGCCAAACATACACCTGGGACTTACCATATCCTCCCTACTCACAACCTCCCCACCCCAACACACCAAGGATAAATCAAGTAGTTCAAGTGTGAATTTAGTTTTTATATGTCCCTGTCAAGAAACTAAGCAGTCAAAATCGCAAGTTTTTGATCAAAGAATTCATCACCTGGGCATGTAATCCTATTTATGTGCATTATTAATTTTACTATCAGAAAAAAACTTAATGCAACTTACCAATTACTTGTAAAAACTCGGTGTTGCTGATTTGTGAATCACTAATACTGAATGTCTCCTCTTGTCTTACCTCTCCCAACAGAAATCCTTCCTGAAAAATAGAAAAAGCTTCTGATTGAGAGCAATCTACAGCTATACTCCATTTTGTTTTATTTTCATGCAGTTTTCACAAGTATATGTAACTAAAATAGTTAACATTTGGAAAACTGAAATATCAAACAGCTGAATATAGGAAAAGGGTGAAGCAAGGGTCCCAAGTGAATTCCAAAAGAAAATCCTGAAATCTAAGGATGCATTTAGATTCTCAAGCATCTGGATTCTGTGAACAGAATAGAGGTGTAATACATGCATCCATAGTCAATTATATACACAATACATGTACAACAGCCTTAATGCCTTTAGAGAAAAGAGGGAGAAAGAAAAATATCTTTGAAAATAATTATAGGAAATGCTTCTTGCTTCCAATTTCTCCATTAAAAGCCCACTCTATATGCATTCACCTGATTCAATATTCAAAGTTTGTGCTGATGTCTCCACTATACCTGTCTATTTCTATGCTAGAAACAGATGACATTATTAAAAAAAACACACATCTGTTAATCAAAATGCTAGCAATGCTTAGCATCCAATGAATTATTATGCATAAGAGAATACCAGTACATGTATATCCTTCCTTCATAGTGTGGAAGACTTTCAGTTTTAGAAATTTTATTATGGTATTTCCACTAGCTTCACATGTTAAAACAGTCTATCAGCTATGCCACAGGAATCTCGTTAGACATATTAATCCAGCCTAAGCTCAATGGAGCAGAAAAGCAGGCTCTTCACAGAATGAAACAGGAAGCTTCTTAATTTTGAAAGAATAGTGTGCAGGGCAAAAGCTCCCTCCAAAATAGAACTAAAAACTGACAGAATATACAAAATGTCTAATGCATATATAGAAAAGCCACAATCCAGCAGCCGTGTATTGCAAAATGTAGTCATCCCAATTTTTTACTTTGACTTGTGTGTCTAGAAATGCCCCTCTGTAACAAACAGAGTGACTGGATTTATTTATTTATTATTTAAAGCATTTTTATGCTGCCCCCTTTGCAACAAGCCTCAGGGCAGCTTACAAAGCAAATAAACAAATATTGAATAAAGTTTAAAAATCTGGATACATCTCAGCAGGTGTATAATAAATAAAAACAACAATTAACAATTAAATTATCGTTTAAATAAAAAGGTCTTGGCCTGTCGCCGAAAAACAAATAACGATGGCACCAGGCAGACCTCTCTGGGGAGCGCATTCCATAGGTGGGGCGTCACCACAGAGAAGGCCCTCCTCCAGGTACTCACCCTCCTAATATCTTTCACGGAGGGCTCCCGGAGAAGGGTCTCTGCCGCCGATCTCAGGGGGTGGGAGGGCATATATGGATGCAAGCGCTCCTTTAGATAACCAGGTCCCAAGCCATTAAGGGTTTTATAGGTGATAACCAACACCTTGAATTGGGCCTGGACTTCAGTGGGAAGCCAGTGAAGCTGACGGAGGACTGGGGTTATGTGAGAACAATGCCCCGTCCCCGTCAGCAACCTGGCAGCTCTATTTTGCACCAATTGAAGTATCTGGACCATCTTCAAGGGCAGCCCCACGTAGAGCGTGTTACAGAAGTCTAATCGGGAAGTTACCAACGCATGTGTCACTGTCGCCAGGCACTAGTTCTCCAGGTAGGGACGCAAATAATGGATCAGTCGAAGCTGGAGGAAAGCACTCCTCGCCACTGCCATCACCTGAGCTTCTAATCACAGCTCTGGGTTGAGGAGCACTCCCAAGCTGCGAACCCTGTCCCTAAGAGGGAGTGCAACCCCATTCAGGACAAGGTCCAGATCCCCCATCCCAAAGCCCAACCCACCTACTAACAGGATTGGGAGCCAAAGTTGCTTAAGTTGAAAACAAAATGGTTGCACTAAGGAAGGATACAAAGTATTAAAGAAGTTTGCTTAAAATTAATGACAGAAACAAGTACACTAATTACTCCTTCATTCATGAGGTATGAAGAATGCAGAATTAAAATAGGCTAGTTCTTATTAAAGAGATGGCCCATTAACTAGGTCAGTTAGTATTCAAATCACCACTACCACAGAACCAGATAGAACTACTAATCCAAGGATTTAAGGAATATTGGTGTTTTTTTCCAAATTTACATTCTAATTAGTTCTCAAACTAGCTTAGTTTAAACTTAATTCAATATAATTGTAATATAAACAATTAACTGAATCTTGGTTTATGGGCAGGAGAAAAATCAAATAAATAAATAAATCCCACCATAAAAATTCATGCACAAATCAGTGCTGCACTTGAAGCAAGCAAAAAAGGGCAATAAAATGGATATAAAATATCCATTTTTTATAATATTCATTTCTATGAACTATTAAGAAATAATGATTTTAGTAAGTCTTTTTATTCTTTATAGCAACCTTTTCTGAATCTGTGTCCTTGAGATATGTTGCTGCAGCTATGCAGGGTGAAAACATTTTTCAGTGCTTTATTTTTCTGTCAAAACCTTTCTGTTTCATAAATTCATTCATAAAAATGCATACCAATTATGACTACAGTATTAATCAAGCTTGGCACTTTCAAAATTTTGTAATTAATTTTTTTCAGTTGATTCCTTAACATGTATCTATGGCATTGAAATATACATATGCATTAGAATGAAACAGAATAAAACAGTGAGAATAAAACAGAAGATGCTCAGCTAGAGGAAGAAAGTTGAATTCTTAAAATAAATCAGTGGTTTTCAGCATATAATAAACACTCTGAATTGCTCAATTTAGTGTAGCAACAGTTTTCTGAACCTCTGTTTTCTTGCTTCAATTTAAACTATGCAAGTACATGCTACTGTCTTTACATTTTTAAAAATATTAAAATAAAAGTATACTACATATTTAAATTACATTAAAAAGGTAAAGGTTTCCCCTTGACGTGAAGTCCAGTCATGCCTGACTCTAGGGGGTGGTGCTCATCTCCGTTTCCAGCCGAGGCAGCCAGCATTTGTCCACAGACAGTCTCCGTGGTCATGTGGCCGGCATGACTAAACACCGAAGTGCATGGAACGCTGTTACCTGCCCACCGAAGTGCTACCTTTTTATCTACTTGCATGCTTTTGAATGCAAGGTGGGCAGGAGCTGGGACGGAGCAACGGAAGTGTGTGCTAATATCTCCCCCACCTTGAAAATTGTATGTCAAATATTCTGCAGTGTATTTGGACAAAAAATTGAAACACTTCTGTAAAGCCTTGTTTACTAAAGTAACTAAAATAAGCATGCATATTAATTTCTCCCTAGGGTGGGGACAGACAACCTGTGACGCTCCAGATGTTTTGGTCTGGTGAGCAGTGACATGAGCTGTAGTTCTTTAGACGTTTTGGCACAGATGTTAGCCACTTCTGCCCTAGGGCATCAGAATTATTTTCTAATGCAAACTGAAAATTCCCAATGAAAATCAACTTAAAATCCCTTTTACCTCAGAAAATGTTCTGCACTAATTGTTCCAAAAATCATTTCTAAAATGCTTCTTAGTTTCAGTAAACAGTACTGTACAGTATGCTTTTATGCTCTTATACTGTGATGTTTTATACCTCACTTAGAAATTTCTTTTAAGTGATTAATAAATACCATTGAACAAAGAAACCATGATTATAGCAAAGCATGACTTGGCATAATTTCCAAAGTAACCCAAATTAATATTCTCATGTCTATCCACACCAAATGCAAACTAAGGGTATGCTCAATACAAAACTTTGCTGCACTCCCTTGTTGAGCAGGGGAGCATACAAAGTATAGTGTAGTGTTGTATCTTCATCAGGTTTAAGTCAACCCACAATTCCTTACAGGTCAGTATGGAGTGCACTCAAGTAGAAAGGCTGAACAAGGCTTGAGTGCCCTGAATCCATACAAAGCCCCAGAGGCATTGCTAGTTGTTTGACCTTTGCAAACAATACCAGGTACTAAAAGTTTAGAAAAGACCAGACCCTGCCCACATAAGATAACAAAAGAACAAGGTCCATCAGAAAAAGTCAGAATAGAAAAGATGTAAATCAAGGAGGTGCTCAAACATTACGGAGTAAGCGTCAGAGATGAAGTGGAGAGGCATTAGGCCGGTAGGGAGCTGCAAGGGAAATAGAGAAGGAATATAGAAGCTAGCTGAAGGTTTAAAAATAAGACTGGCATCTATAAAACAACCATTCATTCAAGGTGCTTATAAAGAATTACAAACACGGGGCTGCTCTGTCGAATCAATTCAGTCCACCATTATTCTGGAAGCAGCCTAGCAGATATCAATTTAACTTATTAGGGGAGCAAAAATGCAACAACTTCTTTTAAAATGTGCAATTACAAGAACCAGTGCAGTAACATGGTCAGAGTATTAGACTGGAATTCAGAAGATCTATCTAGTCACTCAGGCAGTCACTGATTCTCAGTCTACACTACCCTCAACACGGTTGTTGTGATGCTAAAGTGGAGAGGGAGAAAACCATGTGAGCTGCCTTGAGTTCCTTACAATAGGAAAAAGAGACATTAAACAACTGTATCAGGGAGTTCCTAAATAGTGGATTATGCAGAGATGTAATTAAGACAAAATTTTAACAAAATAAATCAAGGTATATTAGAATATTAACATGGGATATATAAGTGATTTAGATCTGTACTTTACTTGAAATTACTACGAGTGAGAACTATACATTCATTCATTGCACCTAATTATTTACTTCAAAGATTTTTCACTGTGAATGCGTGATCTAAAACAAACCACTATAACATATTTCCTAAAAGTAAAATGTATTTATTTTTACCACAAGGGAAGCATATTAAGTCTAAGAATTATAATGGGAAGCAGAATACCAGTTCTAGATAATCAAATGTGGAATATTGTTTTTATACATCCTTAGGCAACCAATCATTTCAAGTATATTGGCCTTGTTCAGATACAATGCCAAACCATAGTTTAGCTTATGAGAATGAGCTGCAGTGAGTCTCAGACTCACACCCTTTTCACCTGTTATAGTTCCCACATCACTGTGTAGCCAGGATGAGTTTGCAAGCCTTAACTTCTGATTTAGAATAACAATTTTCTGTGACATCCAAACATGAACAAACTGCAATTAATTCTTTTTGGTTTGCTGAAGCCATTTAACAGTGCACCTTAGTTTGTGAAGTTGGCTTGTTTCAGATAAGCATAGCTAAGATTAACCAGAGTTAAAGTTCAAATGACACAAGAGAACACAGTTAATCGAAAAAAAACATAGGATTAACTATGGCTCTTTTCTGTAGTGCTTTAATGATAAGATGCAGTCATCACAAAACCAATGTATATTTTATTAGCATAACCTTGGTTCTGTTTAATGTTGCCACTTGTCTTATATTTTAAAAATTGTATAACTGCACCCTGCACTTTTTTATAGCTCATCTTTCTCCAATAGGTAGCCTCCAAATGTTCCGGATTTTAATTTCCATTGGCCCCAACAAGTCTGCTCAGTGGTAAAAGAGGCTGGGAACTGTAGCCCAAAACATCTGGACAGCACCAGATTACAGAGATATTGCAGCCTGATCTAAAGAAAATTGATTCTACACTTGATATTTAAAGAAAAAATGTTAAAACCATGTATATATCAGGCAACATAAAGAGAATAGCTTTGAATACAATAGAAAGTAGCTCTGAACAGAATAACTCAGTACATTTTGTTGTCCCCATGATTTAGTCCCCTCCCCTCTGAGCAACACCTGAACCTTTTTTTTAAGCGATACTCTCCTGCCTATCCTGCCCAAAACTTGTGGCTGTTGTTGCAAGACTGTATACTTTAGCAGATAACCTAATCTACCAATGCTTACATGTAATGATTTATAAGTTGCTGATTTAACTAGCAGAGCCACTAGGCATGTGGCTTTCGATCCAGAAGTAACAGTGGATGTTCATGCAACTGTCCTGAAATAAGATACATTTCTCCTTCCTTTCTCCAGTTTAATGTTCTGATTTAAGACAGTAGGAAGGTAGCTGGAATTGCATTTTAAAGTTGCACCTTTTGCAGAAATACAGTCAACACCTTCCCACCTCTACTGACTGTTCCCATGATTTAGCCTCCAGGAACCCTGCCCAGCATATGGTACAAGAAAAACCATTATTACTGTTTGCTGCTGCGTTGGCCTGATGAAGTGCATATTTGCATAAACATAACACTTTCAGCACAACTTCACTGTGAAAGGAATTCAGTTATAAGATCAACTCACTGACAGAAGTGTCTGCTGATTTTTACATACACAGTGCTATTTGAGAGACTAATATGACAAAGTCAGGAGACAAGTGATGGTAGAGGTATTGCTACTGATACAAAAGAGACAGGTAACATTGCACGTTCAACAGGACACAAAACAGAGTAATTATCTCCACCCAAAAAACAGCTTAATGAGGTGAGGACTAAGTACATGTAGCAACCATGAAATGTTCAACATCAGTTGGAAAAGAAAAACAGAAAGGGTAAGGGGAATGCCTGCCTGAGCTGGCACCCCAGCTGGAGCACTCTAATTCCACTTGACCACATTTATGGTAGTTAACAGATGTTTATAGCTAAGCTTTAGCTACAACTACAAGCTTTATTTCTCAAGATGCTTAAATATATATGAGCAAATGCATTTCTACCTACTCCTCCTTTTCAAAGCTGAAGCGACAACGCATCAGTTATAAATGACGCACAATCACCTTCCCGACATGTACCCGTGCCGAGAAGGCAACTTCTCAAGCTTGTCATCTTTTCGCAAGCCTGTCCAGTCCACAGTCCCTATCACAGCAACCCTTCCTACATCCTCTTGCTGCCACCGCCCCTCCAGCAACGATTCTCCCCTAATTGCGTCCTTTGAAGGCTTCATGACCAACACAGAGGTTCTTTATTTTTAACATATGCTTTTCATCTTCCCTCAGGACCCCTTCCAATTCTTTTCCTCTCTCGCTCACATCCCAAACTCAGGACCCGCCGTCCCTCAGAGCCGATTTCACGTCCTGGGATTGCCTCCCCTCACACCCATTTCCTCTTGCCCGCGTCTGCCTTTACCATTCCTTCCCTCCCTCCAAAACGGTGAGCAAGAAAGAAAAGAGAAAGCTCTCCCCACAAGTACCCCAAGGACGAGGTGAGACGAACGCTAGCGAGATTACTTACGTGGTCGGCACTGCTATTAGCGCTATAGTAACAGACAGAACTGAACGTGTAGCCTGAAATGGAAGCCGCCATGATGGAGCCCCACCACCACCTCCGAAGACGATCCCACAAGCCACTGCACCTGCGCCTCCCCGGCTCTCCACGCGCTCCGGTTTCCGGGCAGAGCCGCAAGGCCTCCTGGGAAACGTAGTTTTCAGCGATTTAATCCTGGCAGAGAGTAGATAGTCTCACACGAGCGCCCGAAGCCTACAGAGCCGTCACCGACTATTATTAGTTACTCGGACCACGTACAGCAGGAGCTGGAGCTCGGTCCCTCTTTACTTCTCATAACTAGAGGTAGCCTTTCCCTTGTCCGCCAATCGGAAATCTTCTCCTACTGGTTCCAATAGGGGTGTTCATCCTTCACAGAGGATAGATGACGTAATTTTGGCCCGAAGGGCGGGCGAACGGGCGAGAATGGAAGGGGCCTTTTTCGGATTCTTCCCCCGACACCAGAACTGCAATTGCATCCTCGGAAACAGCCGCTGGCTCCCAGCGCACACTCGTAACCCACAGGAAGCCGTCAGAGGAAAGGCGGAGAAACAGTCCTCCAGAAGCCTAGACAGGCAAAAGCTGGGCAAGCCCTGTGCGTCGGTCTCCTGCGGTTCTCCCGGCTCTGTCTGGAATTTCCTGGTTCTCGCCGGCAGGCAATGGGCGACGGGGAGGATGAATTTGAAGCATCGGTGCTGGGCACCAAAGAGCAGTGAGTGCGCAGACCGAAGCCTCCAGTGGACCAAGTCCCGGCCAGAAGGGCCAGTGGTCAGGAGCGCTGGGCGCCGTACTCCAGCACATCTGGGGAGGAGCGCCAGCTTAGCGAGAGCTGCGTTCAACTGTAGCTTGGTCGTACAGCACCTTCTTTGCACGCTGGGAGTCCGAAGTTGGTATCAGCATCTCTGGTTAGGGCGGGAATGTAGAGCTGCTGCGATTCCTTGTACTGGGCTAGATGGATTCAATATAAGGCAGCTTCCACCCTATTTTCCCTTTCTGTTAGTGACACGACTGCCCTAGTTTTCAAAGTATCTCGATTCCCTTACATAAGCAGCTGCCTGAAACTTCGTGTGAACAGAAGCTAAGGCTCTGTCTGTGGTTAATCAGTAGTCTAACTGATTGAAAGGTGATATATTGTACCAAACTCTAATTGAATTTGTAAATAAGTTAAAAGAACGTCGTCTTAAGCAGTATCTTAAAGCAAAAGAACAACATCTTATACAAATACTATTTTTAGAGGACCTCTCCCACTTTTTTGTATTATCTTCATTGGGTTAGGAAGAATAGAATGGCATTTTTACAGTATCTTTCTGTATGAGTTAAACCAGAAACACATCCAATTTTAAAAAGAGGTTTTGAGAGATCTAGGGAATTACAGGCTAGTTTGGTTAATGCCTTTTCTGGATAAATTGGTTGAAAGAATTACAAAAGATAAAAATAATACACAATAATTTATATAATATTTGTGTGGCATAATACTTTGTGCAATTGAATAATAGAGATTAAAGATAAATATAAAAAGATGTAAAATAAATTTTAAAATGATTAAAGATAAAAAGTAACATACAGAAGGACAAGCTCTGTTGAGGAAAAAAATCAGCATGGCTTCTTTTCATTGATAATTGAGAGTGACAATAAACAAGAGGACAGAGGTGATCTAATAGATACTGTTTATTTGAACTTCCAAAACGCTTTTGACAAAGTTCCTTAACAAAATATCCTGGGCAAACTTAGTGGTTATAAAATAAGAGGAGAGGTCTTCCTATTTTGTAAACTGCCTTAAAGAAATTTTTAATTGTTAGTTGTGGTAAAATAACAACAATTAAGATATCGGGGTAGTCTTACAACTGCTTAATCCAAAATTCTACTGTGATCTGTGGAGCTTAGTTCTAGTTTAATTTGCATTGACTGCAGTCTCATTGGGACCTGATCAAATTTAGGATCAGCATAAGTAGAGGTAAAGGAAAGGGCAGGTTTATGACTTTTCTGGGAACAGGGCAGGCCAAAAATAATAATAATGTTTTCTTAGGTAGTAGCCTTCTCCCAGTAAGGAGAAAGAACAGATGCAAAGTCTTTGCTCTGTTAATTTCCATGTTTTTTCTTTCTTCATAGCTGGGATGCAGTTTATGAACAAGAATTGCAAAATTTTAAAGAAAGTGGAGATGCTGGTGAGATCTGGCAAGTATCAATAACAATGTGACATGCATCAGCAATTGTTCATACATTACTTTCTTTGTAAAAGTGCATGCAATAAAATAAAATTGTACATCTGTTCTTTTGCTTAGAGTACTGGTAATATGATACAGAGGTTTTCATGAAAAATGCCTGTTCTTGTCTGAGTGAGACCTGTTACAAATTAAAATGGCTGATTATCATCTGACATCTGTTTTTTTAATATGGGAAATGAACTGCTGACTACAGTTTGCTTGGTAGAGGCCAAATGTTCCTATCTCTGACATTTGTCAAAAATTAAATAAGAGGTACACACAAAGATGCACTGCTGTTTCTATAGAAAATGTTTCTCAAAAGACCAACAACCTCTCATCTTCTGTAACACTAACCCAGCAGATTTCAGAGCCCTACATTCATTTTTAAAAATGAGCTAAACAAAGTGGTAATGTGATCTCCGGAGACTGATGCCTCGATGCTGACATAATGTGGATATATTGCATGAGATTGATCAAGTTTGTTTGTCTTTGCTTTGCATTGCTTAATGGTGTTAGTTACCTGAACCTCTGTTTCTGATTAGGTTTGGCGAAGAGAGCATGACTCGTTTAATTAGATGGATAAAAAAACAAAAGATACCCCTGGACGGCTCTGTGCTTGACATTGGAACAGGAAACGGTGTTTTGCTGGTTGAATTGGTTGGTATTTGTAAAAGCTGTGGAATTTGATGCAACATCTAAAGCTAGGAACCAAGCAAGCAAGAGCTGAGGACTGGCTGAAACATTAATGAAAATGTTAATTTTCATTAATGACAGCCTGTTAACCATCCAGTGGGCCATTTCTATGGATATTTCAGTTCATTTTAATCATCACTGTGAATAGGAGAAAATCAGCCTTAATATAATTCAAATTCATAAAAGGTCTGTGCATTTGTTACAGTCAAAGAAGAAGCTTTGAACTTCTAAATCCTACACAAGCTACTATCCACAAATACTGGCTGAATTAATATTCTAATTGTTTCTAATCCTGATACTGGCCCATTGCACATGTAATGAGAAGCTACTGTGGGTGAATTTTCCCAAAAGGCTTCTTGTCATGACAGCCACCATTAATACTTGAGCCAGAGTTTTGCTATTTATTTATTTAAAACATTTATATGCTGTCCTTCACTATCGCGTCTCAGGATGGCTTACAAGATTAAAAGCAATAACCATAAAAACCATCAGTAAAACAATACAATAAAATTACCAAAACCAATACAAATGAATCCAATCAAAACAAAAGTGATTGTGAATTGGTAAAAATGCTAATTTTTAAAATAACAAATAAAAAGGTTTTAACCTGGCCCCGAAAAGAATATAGGCTCTTTTCGCCAGGCAAACCTTGCTGGGGAGCGTATTCCATAATCTGGGTGCCACCACAGAGAAGGCCCTGTTCTGAGTAGATGTCCTTTTTGCCTCCTATAGGGAGGGTTCTTGGAGCAGGGCCTCTCCCGCAGATCTTAAGGGGTGTGAGGGCATATAAGGAAGGAGACGTTCTTTCAGGTATCCTGGTCCCAAACCATTTAGGGCTTTATAGGTCAAAACCAGCACCTTGAATTGGGCCCGAACTTCAACTGGAAGCCAGTGGAGCTGGTAGAGGACCGGCATTATATGAGAATAACAACCGGTTCCCATCAGCTCTGTTCTGTACCAGCTGAAGTATCTGGACCATTTTCAAGGGCAGCCCCACGAAGAGCGCATTACAGTAATCCAACCGGGAGGTTATCAGTGCATGAATCACCATTGTCCAGGTAAGGACACAGCTGATGGACCAGCCGAAGCTGTAAGAAAGCACTCCTTGCCACTGCCACCACCTGGGTTTCCAGTGACAGCTCCAGATCAAGGAGCACTCCCAAGCTGCAGACCCTGGCCTTTAGAGGGAGTGCTACTCCATCTAGGACAAGGTCAAAATCACTTACCTGAAACCTCAGACTACCCACCAACAGAACTTCCGTCTTATCTGGATTAAGGCTCAGTTTATTGGCCCTCATCCAGCCCATTACCTTGGCCAGGAACCAGTTCAGTACAGTCATTGCCTCACCTGGAGTAGATGTAAACAAGAGGTAGAGCTGTGTATCCTCAGCCCACTGATAATTCCTCAGCCCAAACCTCCTGATGAGCTCTCCCAGCGGTTTCATGTAGATGTTAGAGACCTATGTGTAGGTTCAGTGAGAACAGGTTGTTTGGAATGGTTAAGTCCTCCAGAGACCATGGACTGTTCTGGGTGGGGGTGACAACTATCTGAACAACCCACACTTCCCATGTTTGCAGATAATAAGCTATGCTGTGTCCTCACCATGGCTCAAGTATTCAGAATGGCAGCAAATGCACCAAGAAGCCCTGCCAGGAAATTCACCTAGAGTGCCTTCTCATATTGCACTAACCAGAGGTCTTATCTCTTGGCTTATAATAGCTAAAGCAAAAGTGGAGAACTGTAATCCTATAGATGTTGTTATACTGTAATTCCCATCATGGCTACTCTGGCAGGGGTGGATAGGAAATGGAATCCAACAACCACAGGAGAGCTGCAGTTTCCCCACTGCTGGGTGAAAAGTTTGTTCTATTGTTTAAAGGCTGGTTCTAGTGTAACATTCTCAGTACAATGAATGTGCTTTACATTGTATACTTTATGTAGGAGGGGACTTCGACATTTTACTTTCCAGTTCGGTGTATCTAGTATCCATGGATTTCTCTGTTGGAAAGATTAATCCATAGAGAATGAAATGTAGCACTGCTGATGTTAAAAATGGGGTCCTCAAACTTAGGCCCGCGGGCCAGATACGGCCCGCCATGCCCATTTAACTGGCCCGCCCCACAGTTTTTGCACTCGCCAGGTGCACGTGGGTGTGCGGCTTGCTTATCAGGAGGTCATTTTGGACTAGCTTGGAGAAAATCCCTTGTTGAGCAAGCCGGCGCCTCGCCGTGGGTGCCTGGCGGCAGCTTGCTTGCAGGAAGATCATTTTGGATTCGGATCTCCTCGCAAGCAAGCCAGTACCTTGCTCTGCGCCCCCCAACGCCTCGCATGTGCACGTGCCCTGCCCCCTCACCAGCCTGCACCCCCCTGCTGGCACTGCCTTGGCAGCCCGCGCCCACCTCTGGCACTTGTCAGCTGGCCCCATTTAGAAAAAGTTTGAGGACCCCTGCACTAATGCAACCACTTTTATTGCATCAACTTCTTTAACATAATCACAGTCAGTTTGTGAAAACCCACAAATAAGTTGATTGCAATTATACCTTGCTAGATTTCCATTGATTAACAGAACTGGAACTCATTTGGGACCCTACAGGTCTTCTCTTGGAAAGAGTTCAGTCAAAGTTCCTGAGGACCATCTTCCAAGCAGCCCACTGTGTTTCAAACATGGTCCTTCAACGTGAAACTTTGGCCTGGATTTACATCTTTTCTGACTGGCTCAAGCTCCTCTTCTTTCCAGCTGGTTTGGTCCCTTTAATAATGACTGACAGCTTTCAAAGCTCTTGGAGCCAGGCAATACAGGCCAAATTGAAATTATACGGTTATTCATGGCCAGCTATCTCCTTGATGGGCTATGAACGGGCATTAGCTGAACTTAAACAGCAGGACATTGATTTAGGGCTACAGACAGATTATCCAATTCTATCCAGAAATACCTTCCTGAACCATTCTGCACCTTCTTCAACCAGCTAGATATCTTAGTAGCATAATGATCCCCAAATTTAGAAGGGTTTTATCTCTAGCTAGATTCAATGCCCTCTGGACAGCCAAATAACCTTTGAACAAAGACTGTCTATATGGGGGAGAAATAATTGAATCGCTGGAGCATGTTATTCTTTGCAGCCCTCTCTATACAGGTGATGCTATACAGGAACTGTTATTCCCACTCCTTTCTAAATATCCTCTGATTCTTTTTATCTTAATATACTTTTATCCAATCAATCCAATTTTATCTCCTTGACTACAGCCAAATACTGTTAGGCAGTTTCTACAGTGTGTGGTAGAATTAACCTTAAATCCTATTAGGTTCTACCAGAATGCTTTTATTTTATTTATCTTGATTATAGTAATTAGTACTGTATTTTTTTCTTTTTAACTAATTGTAATTTTGTGTTTTACTTTTTGGCCGGTCAATGACTGAATAAAGAATTGGTTGTGAGGACTTTTAAACTGACAAATGTTATTATAAATTTACTGACAGTATTATGTTCTGTCCTTACATAAAAACTGAAATAAATGCCATGGAAACCAAGTAGTAAACATGTATTTATGACTTAGTGGGCTTTTCACTTCCCATTTTAGGCCAAATCTGGTTACAGTAACCTTACAGGAGTTGACTACTCTGCTTCTGCAATACAGCTTTCAAAAAACATAATGGAAAAAGAAGGGCTGCCTCATGTTAAGTTGCAGGTAAGTCTTCATTGGGCTTCTGGAAGGTGGAGAAAAATGCACTCAAAATAGCCCTGAGAACTTTTTAGTTGAGCAAGCAAATAACTTATGATAGATGTGGTAAGAAGTTTATAAAAATTAGACATGCTGTGAAATTAGACATGTACTTTTTTATAATGCTAAAACATACTTTGAATTTTAATACTGGTAGATTCAGCATATTCATATTCAGCTAGTTCCAGAATAAGTTAGTTCTGCCTAGGAATGGAAGCTGGGATCCAGTAAAGGTGAACTGGATGAACCATTGGTTTGATCCAAGAGAATTCTTTTTAATTTGCACTTGGCCTTGAAGCTCACCATATTTTTATTATAGGTTTGGCGAAGAAAGCATGACTTGTTTAATTAGATGGCTGGAAAAACAAAAGATAGCCCTACAGGGGGTAAAAATACTTTCCTGGGAATAAGTCTTGTTGAACTCAGTAGGATTTAATCCTGACTACATATGTATGGAATTACACTGTATAAGGTTTGTTTAGTGAACAAACCTATACCATAGGATCATTTGGGTTCCTTTCTGAAGCTGTAGGCACTGCTGCGACCTTGGAAGGGGGACTTTGAATTCCAATTGCACAGCTATCATGGAAACTGCACCAGCTGCTTTCTAAGGTCACAAAAGTGGACCTCAGAGGAAGGTCCACTCTGAGCTTGCAGAAGTGTACCTCAGAGGACCTCAGAGTTAAGAAAGAAGGTGGGGTGGGAGGAAAAGGGATCAGGATACATTACTATACAGTGTATGTTAAATGGGCTAAATACTGCAATTATAGTAAAATATGATAGCAGTTAAAAACTCATCTCCACAATACACAGAATTTTGAAGAATCTTCTAATCTATGTTTTCTCTTAAATCTCAGGTAAGGTTACAATCAATCTACATTGCACTTAAAAAAAATTAAGACACTTCTAAAAGTACAAAATACAGTATAAAATGCAGAACGCAGAATGAAATGCCTGTGTAAAGAATTGTGTGTTCTGCTTTTTCAGTTTAATTTTATTAACTGATAGGCATAGTTGTCCTGTTTTTAAAGTATTAAGTAATGAAAGCAGTAAAAAGGTTCTTATGTTTAACAGCTATAACTACCTTATACAGGTAGAAGATATTTTAAATCCCTCAGATGAATTATCAGATTTTCAGGTTTGTATTGATAAAGGGACTTTTGATGCTATCAGTCTGAACCCTGAAAACGCAGCAGAGAAGAGGAAGCAGTATGTGAAAGCTCTGCACAGGGTATTGAAACCAGGAGGTTTTTTCCTCATAACATCTTGTAATTGGACCAAGGAGGAACTCTGCAAGAAATTCAAAGAGGGTGTGTATTTGGTTTGCAATCGCATATTTCTGTTACTGTTTTCTGTCTTTCACATGGAAATGCTTGGTATGGGAACAGTTTAAAAATGCATACCTGTTTCAGTTTTAGGAAATGAGAACTAGTGAGGGATATTTAGGTATTGCACAAAATGATCTGGTTACATAGGAAACATGACCACAGCACAGTAGTTCTACTTAAAGGTACATTTCTATGAAGAAAGAGTACTGCTTTTAAAGGATGCAGCCAAGTCCTAAAATTTAGTAAAGGCTGTAAGCACTTAATTGACTTTTAAGCTTGCTAAGTAGTCCCTCCCAGAAGTATTTTGGCATTTCAAGTATTTCAAGTTTGATGTCAACATTTATAAGTGCTTGATAAAAAATCAAGCACTGACAGCTTTGCCTTTTGGGTAAGCTAAGTGTGTTATTGGTCTCTTAAGCGCATGGTGCTTGCTTTTTCTCCATACAGTGCCAGTTCCTTTTCTAAACATGGCTGTTACCTAAATCAGGGACATAATACAGTGGAGTTCTTCAAAGTGTGCAGACAAAGCTTTGCTTGCCATTTTCATCACAGCTGTTTCTTAAAGCAAGAAAAATAAGCTCCTTTTAAAATAACAGTAGTCTTTCTCTTTGGCAGTGAAATTTTCTATGACTTACAAGTAAACCTTTGACTGCATGCACAGCTCCATCATGTGACAGTGTCTTATCTCTGAATCTTAGCATACATTTATAAACTAGAAACTCAAACCATACCAGACAAATAATTTGGTATGGGATTGAAAGTGGAACACGGGATTAAAAGTGAAGAATCTGTAGTTTGTTCAGGATCTCTATCTTAAAGAATTGCTTTTCCATTGCCACTGCTTTAAAATACAAAATACCCATTAGGAGTTTATGCTTGAAACTCAGAAATTATATGCACTTTCATCTGATATGAGATAAACTATTGCTCTTGCCATCCACCCTGTTCTTGAATCATCCCGACTTGATTATACCCTAAGCAAGTCTAAATTTTCAGATGTCAAATAGGATTTAGGTTTACTGATACATAAATATTTTAAAAACTGAACATCTTTCCTTTCTCTAATAGTAATGATTATATCTATCTATCTCAGCTGAAATTGGAGTTACTGACACGGTTATAACCTGTTACTTGCCTTTAATTTATGTGAGGAATAAACCTAAGCTAGGTGGTAGTAGTAAGCAATATGAAATTTCCACCCTTATAAACAACAATCCAGCAGAGTTTGCTCATGTATGTCTGCTCTATTTAAATTGATACCTTAATTTTAAAAAGTTTCAATTAGTTTATACTTGATTTCTTCATAACAAAAGGATTTTACTTTTGTCAGCAGAATTTATTCTTCTGGAGGAGCTGCCAACTCCTACATTTTGCTTTGGAGGAAGAACTGGAAACAGTGTAGCAGCTTTGGTTTTTCAACTGAAAACATAAAATTTTCTATTCTGGATGCATTTTCAATTAAAGTCTCCCTATCCTGAATTTTAGATCTCATGGATAAATGAAATGAAACAAGATTATAAAATGAAATACAAATTGTAGAAGGTTTAAATGTATGCAGTTTTGGTTTCTCTGAAACTTTAAGTATATGGTTTATATGTTACTTACACACACACACACACACACACACATTTGATAATAAAATGCTAAAAATTACCTTTTGCATTTGAAATCTAAGATACCTTTATGTACATTATGGTGGACTTCAAAAAATTGGATAGCTATGGAAGAAAATTGGCGTGTTTGCTGTTATTAATCACATTTCTTTAGAAATGCAACAGATTGTCTGGTGTAAACTTTGGATTGCTAGAATCCCAATTCAATAATATTTTAATATGTTTCTGCCTGCAAAGATCCAAAGGAGATTAAATGACACTATTCCCTGAAGGTTTAAATAGTCTCCTTTACAAAGATGTCAATGTTTACAGGTTGAATTCATACAAGAACCATTTCAAGAGACAATTTTAAGACGTAGGAGACAAATGGCAATTGATGGAGATGGTTGGTACATCTAGTTCTATCTATAAAGTGGTTAATAGCTGAACATTAATGTATGTAGAAATAGGACTGGCAACCATAAAATAGCAATTATAGGTACATTCCTAGGTATGTTTAGACAGAGATAAGGCCTCTAACACCCCACATGTCCAAACCAGCATGGCTGGTAGAGACACACTGAGTGTTGTAGGCCTTTTCTATTGCATACAATTGTGCCCTAAATTCAGTTATGATTTAGAAATGCTAAATTTGGTTTCAGGGAGAGCAGAATTTGCTGTGTAATTAACAGTGTTAATTGAACATTCTCTTTCATATTGATGATAAATAATATGAAAATTCTATTTTTATACTACATGCTTAGAACTGCTTTCTTTTGGGTGTTTTCACTTACTTCAGTGTGCTTCATTAGTTTGTACAATCTAGAACCGCTTTTCCTAACTTGGAGTTGTCCTGACGTTTTAGATTATAACTCTCATTCAACTGCTGGTTGTGGCTGATGGATGTTGTAGTTCAGAAAATCCAGAGGTCAGCAGCAATTGTACACGTTTAGACAGAATAATAAGTCACAAGTTGTCCTGGAACGTTTAATTATTGTAAGCCATTCTGGGATGTTTTTTTCATATAGGATGGGGTAAAAATGTTTTAAATAAATAAATAAAATAATGGTAGGTGTAGGAGTTTTGCCTGTTTAAACATGCATAGAAAACATTACATTTAAACTATCTTTCCAACTTTATATGGCTCTTTTGCAAACTAACTAAGACACTAATTGTGGGGTAAAGGATTAATAGTTAAATATGTTCTCCAGAAACTCCATAGTGTGAATAATCACCAGTGATAAATGAGGCAGTATGCTTATGTACAACAGTTACTGAGAACTTGGGCAGGTGGGTCTGCTGCATTCAAATTCCAGCTGAGGGATCCTGTGGAAACTAGTTTGCCACCCTGCAAACTGAGGCTGGACTAGACGGACTATTGGTCTGATCCAGCATGACTTTTCTTATGTTCTTATATACTCATCAAGCCTGATAAACCTAGAATAATCATATTACTAATTTCTCACCTGCTCCATAAATTCGGTTTCTGAGATTATGATAATATAGCTGCCATCAGGGAACACAGCCATTTCTTCTCCCTTAGATTTAAACATGTACACATATTTTCCAATATTAATAAAGATGGCATTTTAGTCATCCAAGAAGTTCTTTCAGGCCATCTGTCACAGTTCTACAGAAGAGCAATTTCATTTGCACCTATCAATGGTATTTTAGGGGATACTTATAGTTCAGCTGGATTTGATGGATTTTGAGAATCACTGAGGCAATGGGATAGGCACTTCCGCCATCTCATTCTATCTCAGCCCCTTTCTATTCTCTCTACCTCACCTTGCCTTCGGTTCTTATGTGTAAAACAGAGGTCCTATGTCATTCCACTAGAAGCTGTACAGCTAGTCCTCTGAATACTTGGAATAGTCTCCAAGCCAGAGTTCAGTCCCCAAGAAACATCATCTGGTCAATGCTGCCCCTACCTTATGTGCTTAAAATATTTATTACACTTTCCATTACAAGGAAAATAAGCAATGAATGTTTCAGTTAGATGTGCTGTGTCTCACACATACTGGAGGGAACCAAAGAGCCACTTCTGTTTGTCTCAAGGGGTTCTTTCAGGAAAGAAATTTATTTCTCTTTCACTAATTGTTGGCCTTATATCATTTCACTGGACTACATAACAGTAAGTCTCTTACTGTTAGGTGATGTCAGTTTTATCATAGACCCTTACTATCTGGAAAGGAAGAACAAAGTGCTCAGACCCTCATACAAATATCAGGAGTACGAGTGTCTGAGGAGCAGCCAGCTGTCCGTGTTTCATCTGGCATTGCATCTGACCTCCATTTTTAACACCATCCTGAGGCTTCTGCTAGAGTAAAAATACTTATTTAAAATTCTTACACGCACCTTGCAGTACCAACTTAACACAGGCTTCTGAAAAGCAAAGCAAGGCATCATCCCTGTGTTTTAGACATTGTTATGCAAGCTATACTCTCTATTTTTGGCCAGACAAGACGTGGTTAAAACAGATTCACTGCTACTTCCAATTTGTTCTACACCCTAATGCTTTTACGTATAGCTTGCCAGGTAAGTTGGAGAAGAACTTCCTGATGCTCTCACAACGGCAGTCGAAGAAGAACTGAGGTCTAGGCCGGAGCCCTGCCCTCACGCTAGCTGCATAGGGGGCAAGGTCCTGCTGAATACTAATTAGTCAGCTTTAGAACCTTCCCAAAAACTGCCCCACACATGCGTGGAGATACACAGAGACCATGAAGAATAACTGCCATGTTCATTTTCTCCTGGCCATCTCTCTTGACAATTCCTTTTCACCTCCCACCTCTGAGCCAATCAGTCTCCTAACTGTAGGAATCAGGAAGCTTGGGGTCTGCTGGGACTTCTAGTTCCAATATCTTAAGTATAAGATTGAGATGCTATTTGCTAGGCCATTTTAGGTATTCTTCCTGATGGACCTTCAGAAAACATGTTTATAAGTTTCAATGCAGTGCCACATAAGGGCATGGTTTGTGCTGCCCTACTTTAGTGAACACATGTGCCTGTAAATAAAACATTAACTGCCTTAATGATTAACAAACAGTAGATGGGTGCCCTCTTCCTCAGTTCATTATGAAAAGACAAAACTCTATTTGCTGTAATACAGTAATTTTGCCCGATGTTTCTGCTTGGAATGAGAATATTAGGGCTACACAATGCAGTAATGCAGACTTAGCTATAAGTCCCATTGAATGTAGTGGTGCTTACTTTTGAGTAAATACGCACACTGTAGGTCAGGAAAGATACTGAAGATGAAACTCAGATGAAATACTTTGGCCACCTAATGAGAAGGAAGGACTCACTGGAGAAGAGCCTAATGCTGGGAACAATTGAGGGCAAAAGAAGAAGGGGACGGCAGAGGATGCGGTGGCTGGATGGAGTCACTGAAGCAGTGAGCTTAAGTGACTCGGGGGATGGTGGAGGGCAGGAAGGCCTGGAGGAATGTTGTCCATGGGGTCGCGATGGGTTGGACATGACTTCGTGACTAGCAACAAGGCCAGAAAAATGGTTTAGAAAAATTAGGAGAGCACTAGACTAGTCACTCCTTTTCAGATACATTTTTAGGAGAAGAAAAAAAAGGACATGGAGAAAAAGCAACAATTGCTGTTATAATGAAAGGAGTGCAAGTACCATGTGGGCCTTTTTCTTGTTCCAAAAGCTTGCTGGGGAATCAGCATATACCAGTAGGAGTCACTCTAAGCTTCTTAATAGAAATTTTAAGAAATTGCTCTGAGGCATCCTCACAACACAAATGCCTGAGTTTAGGTAACAATTCCTGTTCAAAAAACACCAAGGTTCTAGCCAAGAAAAACCACAGACAATGTCCTTGATCAGTTATCTTTAGATTATTTCTCTTTGGTTTAGTTTTCTTGGTTAGATGATAATTAATTCAAACACCAGCAGTCTGCTCAAGTTTGAGAAAATAAAAATATGTTTATAGGTATCAATTCTAAGTTATTAAATCAGCTTGTTGGCATAATTTGGAATTAATAGATTTTGAACCAATGACAGCTGTACTTTTTATATCTTTATGGTACACAATTGCTGAAATTTTGTATATAATCTTCATCAGCTTACATATGCCAAGTCATAGGTTGATAACACTAAATTTACTGATATGCTGTGTAATTGTTCACTCCCGATGTAAATTACCTTCTATCAAACCTTTAAAATCTTGATCTGGAATTGAGTAAACAAGATGATGGATTGTCTGTGTGCAACATTTAGAATTGCCTTTTTTTTTCTTTGAGCAGCATGTTTTACATTTACATCTGCTTTGTGCCAACTAACATTAGAATTTCAAATATTCTTATTACCAAATGATCACAACTAATAGTTTGTCGGTTGCACATGCAGCACAAGTATGAGTTACATATAAATCTAGAACATGTCACACTAATTTAGTCAAGTGACTGTCTATTTCATTTGTCCTCCTAAAAATGTGAGTCATCATGACCACTGTAGAGTTGGAGAAACATCTGTCTGTCATTCTTGACTGTGCAGCTTATCAAACATACTCTGTTTCAGTATTTTATTCACCAGCTCCTTCAGTCCTATACCCTTTTCTTGCACTTACATTCAACTCTTTCTCTTAGGTGCTCAAACCAGTGTTTTAACATGTTATACTATACAGACTTACCCTGGAGGAAGTTTCTTTGGAAGTGGTGGTGGAGAACATTGCTAAGTAAACATGCATAGAATACTGCTGTTATTTTCACAACAACTCCATGGGGAAGATTAGGTGGAGAGACAGTGACTTACTATGACCCATCTAATAGCTTGAGCACTGAGCAGATAATTGAGCCTGAAGTCAAGCAACCTAGTTCATATCACATTGGCTCTTTTCTAAGGTCTCTAGATTGCCAATTAAGTTTGCAAAATGTAGGATATTGTAATTGTTCTAAATACAGTGTTTGATTTATGAAGCATATCCAGATCTGCAATATTACTATGCCAATAGGCTCTCCTCTTTGTTTCTTTAAATGTCTTATGGTTTGATAATTAAACCCACAGAACAACATGTAGACACTAAATCAATTCCATGCATACTAATTCTGGTAAACTGTAGTTCAACCAGGCAGTTATCGACCCTATGCAGAACAGTAAATTTCAGATCTGTGCTGAACATAATCACTAACATGTTTTTAATCACACACACACACGGGGGGGGGGGGGGGGGAGAGACTGACTGCATTCATGTTATATATAAAGCTGGCCAGTCCAACATAGGGAGAATGATGTCAGGACAACAGACTCATTTCCAGTTTCACTTGAGATTTATGGATGCAGGCAAGTCTGAGCCATGTGAAAATGCATAAGCAACATCCTAGAGAAAATGTAATTTCATACACCAGTACAGTCAGCTTCAGCTAACAGCAACAAATAGAACTGTAAAGAATTCAGGAAAATTTTATTATGTATTCCAATACATGCTCAGCAACATCATCTGTTGCTCGGTCTTATGTTATCTTGGAAACTGGAACTCATTCTGTTAGTTCTGTTAAAAACAGAGCTTTTGTTGCAGAGCTTCTTCCACAAGCAGGCTTGATTGGACTCTCCTTGACCCAAACAGCTCTTTTCTATTTTTGGGAATCTGTACTTGTGGCTCTATTTTTCTGCCTTTCATGTTTTGACTTGTATCCTGCTTTCTGTTACATCAAACTCAAAGCAGCTTACATCAGTCTCCTCCTCCTGTACTCTTATCCCCACAAAAACAGCCCTGTGAGGCAGGTTGGGGTCTCTGACTGGC